TTCCTGCACCAAAATCCCTCAATCCTCAGGCAACTACTTGTGTATTATATCACTGAAAGTTAATCTGCATTTCCTAGAATTTTATTTGAGTAAAAATGTATAGTACATATTCATTTGTTCTGACTTGTTCATATAGTGTGATTATCTGAAATTCATCCAGTTGTGTGGGTATCAGCCGCACACTCCTTTGTGTTGCTGAGTAGTATTTCATTGAATGGCAGAACCACACTTTGTTTATCCTGTCACCCATTGAGAGACATTGTTTCCACTTTGGAGCCTCATGAATAAAGCTTCTCTGAACATTTTGCACAAGTTTGTATGTGTTAGGGGAAAAAGGCTGTCCCAAAGCTAATTCCATACAGGCTTTGTGGACTCCACCCCCACCCCAGTGTTAGGGGGAAAAGGCTGCCCCAAAGCAAATTCCATACAGGCTTTGTGGACTCCACCCCCACCCCAGGCCAAAGCCAAAGACACTGGGAACTCTACATCCCATCACCACCCAAGGGAAGGTGGCTGGGACCTGAGGGTGGGGTTAAGCAGCCAGGTGGATACAAAAGGCAGACATGTGGGCTTTGGGGCTCTCTCCATTTTGGGGCCCTCGGCCAGCTCGCGGCGTCCGTCTAGCTCTGAGAGTGACTTTGGGTTTCCAGGTCGTCGGATCAGGTAGGACGCATTAAAGACTTTATTTCCCTATTTTCTCCCTGAGTTGTACATTTTCCTTATTTCTTTTTCTCTTGTAAATAAACCTTTTATTAACCCTTTTGCGTGTGTCTGTAGTAGAGTATTCATAAGTCCCTTTAAAGCGCGCGGGTGAGGACCCACAGCCAGGAACCCGTTTAATATCGGGGTTGCTCTATAACAGCTTGGCGCCCAACGTGGGGCGCGTTTCACCCATGGTTGACCAGCCCAAAGTAATTTTTCTTGCGTTGGTCACCATAAAAGCGCATTAGGTCTGCAGGACTCGCAGTGAAACTCTTTGTTTCACGTCTTGAAAAGTTTTTTTTTTCTCCACGCATACGGCCGTTGTGGGTGTGGTTTTGACCCAAACGTGGCCTCAACCATGAACTTCAGCAGTTTAATCCCTAACTTGAGTTCTTTCAGTTTTTTTTCCGGCCTTGAATTTAAGTAGCCTTTTTCCATTAAATATTACCACCAGTTTAATAAGTGTAAATAATTAAATTAGACCTAGCTTATGGCACGTAATTTTAATTCTGTATACATATGTGAATGGTTTCCAAGCCATCCCTTTGCAGTCTGTGCTTCTAGGTGTTTTTTTGGTAATGTGCATAGGCGCCATGTGCTACATTTTTGTTTCTATGAAAAGTAGTGGTTGGACTTCCCATACTGAGAATGTGCTACAACAAATTCAAGCTCTTAACTTAGCGATGAAACAACAAAATCAGGCTTTTGAGTCAGCTTTTCAAAGCGTACAGCATCAAGTGCAACGACAAAATCAGACTTTTAAGTCAGCTTTTCAAAGCATGCAGAATCAAGTACAACGACAAAATCAGTTTTTTGATTCAGCTATTGACAGTGTGAGGGACGAAAATCGTAACGTTTTTGAGTCCGCCTTTAAAAGTGTGCAGGACCAGATACAGGCCGCCCTCCATAAATGGGATATGACACAGAAAAAGGCTAAAATAATGGTGCAGAAAAGAGATAAATGTTCTCCTTCCCATGAGGACTGCAGAAGGGCAGAGTTAGAAGAAGAAAAAAAAATTCATATGCTAAATACCTTAAACTCGTCAGGACAAAGGCTTTCTCCACGTAAAGTGGCCCCTCCCGCACAGACTCCTGAGGCTTCAGGACAAGGGCCTTCTCCACGTGACCAGGCCCCTCCTGAGGCCCCTCCCGTACAAATTCCTGAGGCTTCACAGCCTCCATTGCCCTCCAGGGAGGTAAAAATCGTGGCGTCTCCTCCCCACACTAGGAGCGGCACCCATTTTGGCAGTAACGACCGCTCTGTGGCAGGACAGTTTCCTCTTCGCCAACTGCCGATAGGTGGTGTAAATGAAGAGGGGAAACCTGCTGGGTACTTTTGGTCGCACCATCCTTTTAGCACCGGGGACCTCCTAACTTGGAGGAACTCTGTTCCCTCGTACCGGCAGGCTCCTAAGAGGATGGCGAACTTGTTTGCCTCCGTTTTTCTCTCCCACCGCCCTAACTGGGCAAATATACAGATAATGTTACATGTTTTACTAGGTCTAAATGAGCGGAGGATAGTAGTGAGGAAAGCCAGGAAAGAGACTGCACGTCTCCACCAACAGGATAGCCAAAACCCAGAGCCAGAAATTGCTGTCCCAGAGGTAGATCCTCAATGGGACCCCAACAATGGAGGACTGGCGAAGTTGGATCTCTATAAAAAATGTTTATTGGCAGGACTGGAGCAGGAAATCCCCAAACAAAAAAGTTTTAACAAAATATTGAAACTTACACAAGGGGCTAATGAGGATCCATCAAAATTCCTTGAAAAGATTATTCAGACGTATACAAACCACACGGATTTAAATCCAGATGCCCCAAAAAATGCTCGTGTGCTCACTGTGGCGTTCATCACAAATAGTGCTCCAGACATAAGGAAAAAGTTAGCAAAAATAGACGGCGTCACAAAAATGAGTCCGTCCCAGGTAGTGGACTTAACATTTAAGGTTTATAATAATAAAGAAAACAGAAAAAAGGACAGGAGACCAAAACCTGCGACTGTTTTTGTACAAAAAGAGCACAGGCCAGGGTATCGGGAAAACAGTAATGGACAGAGACGTGAACCCCTAGGAAGAAATCAGTGTGCTTTCTGTAGAGAAGAGGGACATTGGAAGTACAGTTGTCCCAGGTTACAGGGCAGAGGCAGACGCAGTAATTCCAGAGGGCAAAATAAAAGACCGAGGACACCACGACAGAATGATTCACGTAGGGGTTACAGGAGAGAATATAGGAGGAGTACACAGAACCAGGAACCAAGGAAAGAAAAAAAAAAACAAATGTCAGCACAGACTAGAGGCTCAGATAATAATAGGGAATACAAACGGGGAAGAAATCAAAAGCCCAACACAGAGGACAGGAGACCAGTGATAGCACAAAATAGGGTCTCAGGTGAAAATAGAAGGAAATATAGACAGAGTAAAAAAAATCGGGAGCCAAGTGTGGAGAAAAGGAGACAAATAATAGTTCATGGAGAAGGTTCAGATGAAAAATAGGGGTGCCCAGGGGTTCCACTAGATCTTAAACCCATCAAAATAACCCCCTCGGAGCCCCGGGTAACCCTCGCTGTGGGGGATCGCCTGATTGATTGTTAGGGGAAAAATTGTTAGGGGAAAAAGGCTGTCCCAAAGCTAATTCCATACAGGCTTTGTGGACTCCACCCCCACCCCAGTGTTAGGGGGAAAAGGCTGCCCCAAAGCAAATTCCATACAGGCTTTGTGGACTCCACCCCCACCCCAGGCCAAAGCCAAAGACACTGGGAACTCTACATCCCATCACCACCCAAGGGAAGGTGGCTGGGACCTGAGGGTGGGGTTAAGCAGCCAGGTGGATACAAAAGGCAGACATGTGGGCTTTGGGGCTCTCTCCATTTTGGGGCCCTCGGCCAGCTCGCGGCGTCCGTCTAGCTCTGAGAGTGACTTTGGGTTTCCAGGTCGTCGGATCGGGTAGGACGCATTAAAGACTTTATTTCCCTATTTTCTCCCTGAGTTGTACATTTTCCTTATTTCTTTTTCTCTTGTAAATAAACTTTTTATTAACCCTTTTGCGTGTGTCTGTAGTAGAGTATTCATAAGTCCCTTTAAAGCGCGCGGGTGAGGACCCACAGCCAGGAACCCGTTTAATATCGGGGTTGCTCTATAACATATGGATATATGATTTCATTTGTCTTGATTATCCAAAGTATCTTATAGTAAATATTTGAAAAAACTCTTTCATTACTTGAGCATCTCCTATGCTACCAGAGTCTGTGCTAGATGCTTATTTAATGTAACAGCCTTTTCAGGTTAGTATTGCTGTCCTTACTTTACGAAGGTGAAAGCCAGTTCAGAAAAGTTGAGGGACTGATTGAGGTCATATAGATAGGATGATTCCAACTTGGATTTGACTCAGGACTGATTGCATCAAAGGCCATGTCTGCCCTTCCTCCCCCCAAAACTCTTCAATTTTGAAATCTGGAACTCACTGAATTTTAGAACCACAAATCTTTAACTTTAAAAAAGTGAATGAATGTAAAATTTAAAGCAGACAAAAGCTATAAAGTATAATAAAAACAAATATGGTCTACGAGCCACAGTGAGAAATAAAACCCTGCCAATGCTGTCAGAGCTCTGCTGATTAGTCTTTCCTTGCCCCTTTCTCCCTCTCTTAGAAGAACACTTTCTCCTGCCTTTGAATCATTCAATTTGGGAATCAAAAGGCAGAAGATCAGAGTGGTAAAAACAGGCCACATCACTTCCTGGATGTATAAATCTGGGCAAGCGTGTAGCCTCTCAAAGGCTTGGTGTCCTTATCTGTAAATGGAGTTAAAACAGTCCTCAATGCACTGCCGGAAAGGTGAAATGAAACAAATCCTGTAAAACGGCGCACACACTGCCTGGCACAATGGTGGCAGATAGTACTACCAGCACCTCAGAAGGTGGACTTCAGAAATTCTCGCCTTGGAAGGGAGCAGAGCGAACAGTGACTTCAACTTTCCTCCTTGATTTTGAGATGACCTAACAGACTAGAGAGAAGGAGTTGGACTTGGCTAAGCTCACCTAGGTGAGCAGCCCCTTTTGACACCCACTTAACCCTGGGTGAGCAGGAGGACAAACAAAGGAATTTTCTACTTCAAAGTGATTTCCTGTCTGGAGTGTGAACACACTGGTCTGTTTCTCCAAACATCCAAAGAGCCTTATGAATCCAAAGGTCTGCCTGGGAACAAGTGATGAGGACCCTGGGCAGCCAATGGGAGTGTGCTGGCCTTTCTACCTGCCGGGGGTGCTCCCCCTCCTCAGCCTCCCTATTAAAGGCAGCTTTGCCCAAGTGGGGGTATTTCCAGCTTCGTGGCTTTCACTTCCACTTCTACCAAGTGGGTGGAGTGGCCTCCTGTGGACCAATCAGATTCTTTCTGAGACCCATCTTCAAAAGTGAACCTCGGGTCCAGGATCCCAGATACACAGGGAGCAGCCACAGCAGCAGAAGGTGTGGGCAAGACCAGAGGCCAGACAGACCATGGAGGACCAGCGCGACCTCATCTCCAACCACGAGCAGCTGCCCATGCTGGGCCAGCGCCCCGGAGTCCAGGAGAGGTATGCTGAGCAGCAGGCAGGTGCCGGGGCCCGGACCATGCAGACAGACCAGGGAGGCGCGCTAGCCCAGAGAAGGGGGACAGGTCAGGGGCTGGTTCTAACACGGCTGGTGATTTAAGCCAGTCTCTCGCCCATGCTGGGCTTCACTTCTTCCCCCTGTAAAATGAGGGAACTCCTCCAGGGTCGGGGTTCGGACTCCCTTTGCATCATGTACTTGCCTTCTGAAAATACGGAGAGCGTCCCAGGGGCTCCCTCGTTTCACTTACTCTGGGGCTTCCAGACCCCTCTGAAGCTGGACCATGAACCCACATCAGACACCTCGGACCAGATTGGGAAGGCTGTATGGATCCTAGACAGAGAGACAGAGTTCCTCAAAGGGAAGCACCTCATCACAGAGGAGCTTCTGCCGGGGGTGGGCGCATGGGTTGGTATCAAAGGTACTGGTGTTGCAGGTGTCTGGAGAGTGCCGGAGCTCTCTGCTGTTACAGTGTGCATGGAAAGAGGTTGAAGGGAGTCAGGAAAGTGTGGAAGGTGTTCTGCCTGAATTCCTACAAGGGGTTGAGGGCTGATGTGGGGGATGCCCTGCCTGTGCCTCCTTCTCTTGAAGCAAGAGCTCAGTCCCATCCAGAGACTCTGGGCCCCTTCACAGCCCCAAGATGGCCTCACCCATGTGTTTCCCTGAAAAAAGAGGGGGGAGAGCTAGAATGCGCTACCCCTGAGGCCCCCAATCTCCAACAAGTAATGTGCAAGTTACAGAGGCTTAGAGCTGTGATGTGAGCTCTTGGCAGGCAGAAGGGGGCTTGGGAGAGACGCTCAGAGATGTGAGGTGGAGCTGTGCCTGGGGCACTGGGGCACGGGTAACCAAGTGTAGACCATAGGCACAATGGCCTGTGAAAACCCTGGGGAACCCCATGGCTGGAAGGGCCACCCTCATGAGGCCCGGATTCTGGTTCGGTTCTGCAGTTGTCTCCTGTGACTTGGGTAAATCACTGTTTCTTCTCTCCCAGTAACAGAACATTCACAACAGTGGTTCCCATTTGCTGTGCTGTGCCCTTGTAGCTAGTTATTAGCTGGACACAACGAAATGCTGAACTCCATACTGTTCTCATGATAGCCCTATGAGTCTCATAGGTAGCCCTTTTGTTACTCCCATTTGACAGGAGACTCAGTGGTAAGAGATGATCCTGTTATCACAGCTAGTGAATTTGAAGCCAGGACTTGTCTGATTTCAGTTTGAGCTCACTGTACCACCTGGCCCTTTTAGAGGCACAATTTGAAGGGAGGGGAGGTAGGAGCCCTCTGAGCTCAGGCTACCAGTGAGCAGCAGACCCAGCCCCGGTGCCCGGAGAACATACCCCTCAGCACATCCCTGTCGGCTTTCCCTTTATTCAGTTCCTTCTCTAAAACTGCTCCCACCTGTTCTCAAGCCATTCCAGACTGGAGCCTGTTTTGAACCCTCTCCTAAACACTTCTACCCGGCAACACATGTGTCAAGATTCCCCTAGTTCTGGTTGGCTCCTGACTTTGAGCAACTGCTTTTTTTTTTTAAATTCAAGAAGGAGGCGGGGTAAGGAGGAAGTGAAGAGGGGTGATAAGGGTTGGCTCTCATCCAGAGCCAGGGGACAGGATTCAAGATGCATAAAGAGGAAGGAAGCCAGATGTTAAAGCTAATTATTAACTCCCCTGAGAACAGCAGCGTGACCTGTGGAGTGCTAAGCACACGGAGGAGGAGTTCCCGGACGGTGTGGAGCCAAGTGCTGTGCCCTTGTGAGCTTCGGCAACATAGCTGGCCTTCAAGTGGACAGTCTTACCCAGTGACCCAGAGAGGCTAGGTGACTTTGACTTGTCCTGGCCCAGCTAAGGAGGTGGCAGGACCAGGATTCCAGGGTGTTCAGTCACCTTCACAGTGAATCTAGACTCGTTGTCCTTATAAGAAACTGAGGTTCAGAGAAGGTGAGACACAGGGCAAGCTAGAAATTAGGCAGTTTTAGGGACAGTGCAGGAGGGGACCTCTGAAGAATTTAGGGAGGCTTCAAAGATAAGGACAACCAAGGGAAAGTAACCCATTCCACTAGGAAAAACAAACATGCCAGGACCAAGGACAACTTTGTTAACGCTGGTCCTGGTTTCCTTCAGGTGGTAAAGGGAGGCGGAGATTGGAGAAATGGAGAGTGGTTTAATTTATGGACACATTAGAAGGGCAGCTGTTTAACTTCAATGCAGGGATGCCCATCCAGAAGACTGGGCCATAAATTTAAAGATGCAACAAATGGGGAAAGAGAAAGCTGTTAGATAAGGAATGTGAAGATCCCCCACTCAGTAGCAAATTAAGTGAGACAGCCGAAAACTAACCAATCACAGAGAGACTGGTGGAGCTTTAGAATAATGAGGGAAAAAAGGTCTATATTCCCTGAGACACGACTCCACTTTGGCTTCCTTGCCCCTCCCAGGCCTGGTTCCCTGGCCTGGTTCCCTGGCCTGGGAGTCCCACTTTATTTCTGCTCTTTTTCTCCTCAATAAACTTTTTCTTTCTCTAAACAAACCTGCCTCTTCTCGCTTGCTTGCCTGAGCGTCTGCGAAGTTCCTGCTGCAGCTTCGTGAGACACCAACCCGTGGGGGTCTAGCGGCTGGGACTCAGCGCTGCCCCTGCAGCCTGAGATCCGTTCCTGGCTGGGAGACTAGGCCTGACAATTCCGGTATCAAAGGGATGCTCTCCCCCAAGTCCTGGTGGGAAGAGGTAGAACTGGTACTAGACAGGGCACAGGGATGTGGCTAGAGGTAGCAGATTAAAGAGCTTGAACCCAGGCAAGACCAGGCTTGGGTAGACTCTGCACTACCTTACAGGCCAGGCTACCTCTGTTCCCCCCGAAGGCCAAAAGTGGGATTTCTTCCTCTTCCTGTCTGTCCTCTTTTCTCCACACAGGGTTTAGCCTTCTCCCAGAATAACAGTCCCTTAGTGGGGCCTGGCGTGCAGAGAACAGGGGAGAGTGAGCTGTGCCTGTTCTGTCATGAGCCCTGAGGCAGAGTGGAGCCCTCGCAGCTGATGGTTTTGGGGAGGTTTGGGGAGCATGTGGACAGGTAACAGTATGAGGGATGGAAGTAGCCTGTCCCAGGATGCTGAGTTCCTGACCTGTTCCCTCCCATCTCAGTTCAGGGGTGGGTCTATTTGGACCCCTTGGAAATGATTAGGAAGAGAGACTGCAAGTTTAGGAAGCTCCAGGAGATCCTTTTGCCTAGGAACTCATGACATCACAGACATGGCTTATTCTCATTGGCGCTCCACTCAAGCTAAGGAAGGGATTTGCTCATAGAGGCAGAGTCTGGGGAGAGGATGTGCCCCCAGAAGGGGTGGTGCCTGGTCTTGCTCCAGCCTAAGGTTGTCCAGGGCCCCCAACCCACTTCTAAAATGTCTAGCCCTCACTTCTCTTTTTTCAAGTAGGTTGCAGGCTCTGTGGTCCTGTTCTCACTTCCTTTTCTCCTCAAATCTGATTTCACTGCTGAGGGAGAAGTCAGAGAAGAGACTACTAGTTGGAGGGTTGAGGATGGGCAGGGGGATTAAGAACTCCTTTCTCCCTAAGGGCAGCCCTCAGCTTCGGAAATTCCACGGCAAAGGGAACCCTAGGTAGACCTTCCACTGAGCCCCTCATTGCACAGGCGATGAGGTCCAAGAGGACAAAGCCTGACTTCTCCATGCAGCATGAACCCGGGGTAGCTCCAGATTCCTACTAAGGAGAGAGATTTAGGGGCGGCAGGAGGGAGCCAGGGCCAAGTCATTGAGTGGCTTGTTGACAGGCATTTACTGTTTGCACACAAATGTGTTTGTTAGGGGTAACTTGGGGAAGGTTGCTAGAAATGGGGAGTCACACTCATGCACTCCCAGATGCCCTTGGGGCAGCCACCTCTGTGGACCCTCCTCTGACCTCTCTCCCCTCCCCCTGCAGCAAGTGTAGCCGTGGAGCCCTCTACACAAGCTTTTCTGTGCTGGTGGCTCTGCTCTTGGCTGGCCAGGCCACCACGGCCTACTTCCTGTACCACCAGCAGGGCCAGCTGGACAAGCTGACAGTCACGTCACAGAACCTGCAGCTGGAGAACCTGCGCATGAAGCTTCCCAAGTGTGAGTGCCCCACTCCACTCTGTCCTGACGTCCCCACTCCACCATCTCCCCACTCACCCAGCTGGGTCCACTGTCCTCTCCCTCTGCTCTGGAATTGCAGCCTCTCCTCAGGCCCGGGATCTGAGTACCCTCTCCTGGCCCTGGGCCACACTCACGCTGTACCCCTCCCCCACAGCTGCCAAGCCTGTGAGCAAGATGCGGATGGCTACCCCCATGCTGATGCGGGCACTGCCCATGGAAGGCCTGCTCCAGGAGGTAAGGACTGCCCCAGCGGCATGTAATCTGGAAGGGAGATGTTGAGTGGAGGGGCAGGGAGGACAGAGGAACCTGGAGAAAACCAGCTGGGGCAGAGGCCCTGCCTGCTGGGGAGGACAGGGCCCACCACAGAAAGAGAGGGCTCCCAGGGCTGGTGGTGGGGTAGGGGTGGAAAATAATTTTTTGGTGGCCTCTTCCCATTCTCAAAGCCTTTGATATCATATATGGATGACATTTATGTTCACAAAAGCCATCCACAAAGCCCTGGGCAGGAAGTTTATGCAGATTTGATCACTAAGGACACTGAGGCAGGGAGGTGAAGTGACTCAGTTGAGCTCTCCAGTGTGGAGGTGGCAGAGATGGGCCTATGGAATCCTCAGGGCGCCAAACTCACCCAGCCCCCAGCTCCTGGCTCCAGTCTAGGGTCTGTTCTCTGAGGGCCAGTGTTGGTAACCTTGCTCCTTCCCTCCACAGCCCATGAAGAATGCCACCAAATATGGGAACACCACACAGGACCATGTGATGCACCTGCTGCTGGTGAGTAGGACCTGCCGAATGACCTTCCTACCCTTACAGGCCCCGCGAAGCTGTGCTCCCAGGCCATCTCATGTGGAGAGTCAGTACAGGCTCATTGGAATAGCGAAGGAACACAAGTGTGGCCTGAAACAGTACCTGTTCAGCCCATGGCCTCACCTTACCCGCCTTTTTGAGCACTTGAGATGGAGAAATGAAAGCCCAAAGCCTGGAAATGACTTGTTAAATGAGCTCTGTTTTTTCTCTCCATTTTTTTTTTTAACTGTATGTCCACTGTGCCAGGCACTGTGCAAGGCTCTGGGCTCACAATGGGGAGTGATCAGACCCAACTCCCAATCCCATGAGAGTCCCAGGTCAGCCTGAGGGGACAAATAAGTGACCAGGTGATGAGAGACATGAAGGGGACTTTGTGAGGAGAGAGGCAGAAGACCCAACCTACGTGTGTGTGTGTGTGTGTGTGTGTGTGTGTGAAGGAAGTCTTCCTGGGGGAGTGGAAACTGAAAGATAAGAAGTCTGTGGGGAGAAGACTGGGGGTGACTAGCAGAGCTGGGCCTGGAACCTGGTCTCCTGACTCCTTACTTGGAATCCTGCAGCAGGACAGCTGAAATGCCTCCCCTACCATCTCTGCCCCCAATTCCATTGTGGCTCAGGTCTGGGGCCTAAGATTGGTGCATCTTGGGTCACCCCTCAAAATGGGAGACCAGGGGAACATTTCATCTTGCCTTCCAGGTTGCTCTTTTTTAAACCTTGCTGTTCTGCTACCCCACAGAGGTCTGACCCCCTGAAGGTATACCCGCAGCTGAAGGGGAACTTCCCAGAGAACCTGAAACACCTTAAGAACACCATGGAGGGCCTGGATTGGAAGGTTTGCTGTTTTTCCTGTACTGTGCCCTCCTGATGTCTAGGGCTGGGTTGAGGGAGGTGGGGTGTACTCACAAAGCCGTGACTACAGAGGGTGCTTGGAGTTGAGGGACTACCTTAACCAAGCACTGGGTGATGAGATGGAGAACCAGGCTGCAGTTGGACCCCAAGATGCTGGGCCTGCCTGGACCTCCTGTCTGTCCCCAGGGCCAGGGCTAGAGCCTGATGCCCTGCGTCTGTCCCAGTCAGATCTTTGAGAGCTGGATGCAGCAGTGGCTGTTGTTTGAAATGAGCAAGAACTCGCTGGAGGAGACACCCACTGAGGCTCCTACCAAAGGTACCGGGAGTGGGGGCCTTGGGGTTCAGGGCTTCTGGGAGCTCCCTCCGTGCCTCCTGGAGGTGGAGAACCCCCTGATCCAAGTGCCAAACTCTCCCAGTCTTTTTCTCATTATCTCTCCTACCTGTTCCTCCTGGGTTAGCTGCCCCCTCTCCCTGTTTCCCTCCTGCCTGTGTGCGCCCAGGGTATAGCGGTTGCCTGTCGGGAGGCGGTCTCCCTTTGGAGGATACCACTCTGCAAGTGGGCCTGGTGCAAAAGCCTTGAAACATCCCAGACCTGAAACATCCCAGAATCATCACAATGACCTTCCCCAGCCCTGCACTCTGCAGGCTCAGGGAGGTGGCTCGAGGCCCCATCCTGCAAAGGCTCTGGGGTCACAAGCCACCATGTGGTGCCAGTCTCAGTGGCCTTCAGGTTTTTCCATCTTATGAATAATGTATATTAGAATTTTTTTTCTTTTATTTCCTTTCATATATTTTTAACATCATTTTTCATTTTTATACAATGTGTGTATTTTCATCTCAGGTATAGTCCCCCGTGAAATTCCCACCACCCATTCACCCATGTATCACCCCCATAGTCCCTCGTGCTCCTCCCACCCCTCTTTTGATCCTACTCCCTTATACTAGGATTTTCACTCCTATAATATGTGTTCTCATCCTGGTACTAAGGTGCCAGGTGACTTTGGGCATCTCTTCCCTCAGGGCTTGTCTTAGAGAATCAAGAACTTACCCCGCTGCCCCGCTGTGGGCCTTAAGTTTCTCCACCACTACTTCATAGACAGCATCTTCTCCACCAATTCCCAGAATCCCCTCTACAGCACCCCATTTCTATAGCGATACCCCTGGTAATGGGAGCTCAGACTTACCAGGTACAAGTTGATTTTCTCTAGAAATCAGAATAATAGGTGCCATTCCAAACTTCATTGGACATTTGAGTGTCACAAGAAATCAAGTTCTGGGGTGAAGTGGTCACACAGCCACTCACCTCCTCTTAGATTTTGGGCCTTGTTGGTCCAGGCCTCAGTTTCCATATGTAGAGCGAGTCTAGCCAGTTGGGCGTAGGCATCGGCAGGCCAGAATGGTGGTGGCTCCCTGCTCCTGCCGAGAGCCTAGCCTAGAGCGTGCTCACTCACTGTCTTCACCGTGCCTGTCGCTGCAGCACTGACCAAGTGCCAGGAAGAGGTCAGCCACGTCCCGGCCGTCCACCCGGGCTTGTTCCGTCCCCGGTGCGATGAGAACGGCAACTATATGCCGCTCCAGTGCTATGGCAGCATCGGCTACTGCTGGTGCGTCTTCCCCAACGGCACCGAGGTCCCCCACACCAGGAGCCGCGGGCGCCGTAACTGCAGTGGTAAGCAGTGGTGTGGTGCAGGGAACGAGGAGCAGGCAGGCTCAGGGACGAGGTCCCTTGTGGTGCACCCAGGTCACTCTGGCGGCAGTTCCTGGGGAGCAGCCACTCCATCCTCCTGTATCCATCCAGCACTCCTCTGTGTGTCTGTTTTCTCACACCCACCCTCGTCTCCTCACTCATCCTCCAGTCCTTTCATCTGACTCCCCCATGCGTAGACCATCCACTTAGGCATCCAGTCCACAGACCCCCACTTCATTTTATCCCCCTTCCCTGGTCTGCCCAGCCAGTGCCCCCAGCAGATGCACTGCAGTAGGCACCGTCCCCTGGGGCCACTGTACCAGGACTAGGCTGTGCTAGGTGGGGAGTCCTGGCTCCAGCACCTTGCTGTTGTGAGCCAGGGGCTGAACTACAAGTAACACGTGGGCTTGTGCTCCTGTGCAGACCCGCTGGAGATGGAGGAACCGTGGTCTGGGCAGGGAGTGACCAAGCAGGAGCTGGGACTAGGTAAGGGCCCCCGTAAAGGGATGTTCCCCAGCAGTGCCTAAAAGGGGGCTGCGCGGGGCCTGGGGGAGGCTGATTCCCTCATGGGCGGACACCCAGAGAGCCAGGCTTTACTCCAGCCTCCCTGGGAAGCCCCCTTCACAGATTAAGGACCAGTGTTGGGGTACAGTGAGGCCACGCTCTACGATGGTCAGTGCTTGCTCCTGGACAGTGGGCAGCGGAGGGTGGAAGTCCTGGGATGCTGGGAAGTGGGACAACAGAGGACTCCAATCCTAACTGCTGCCTCTCTCTACAGGCCCCATGTGAGAACCGCAGCCAGAGATTAGCTTCCAGCCAGCCGGGCATGACCACAGCTTCTTCGCTCCCTTAACCTGACACCACAGCAGACCCCCACTCTGCATACACACATGTCATGGACATGCACAAATGCTAAACATGTGCACACTTGTGTGCTTACATACACACACATACACATACACACACACACACACACACACACACAGAGCTTTGAGCTCCAGGTCCTCAGCTTTTCACCCAGTTTAACTGGAGTAAGAGCCACCTTCTTCCTCCCTCAGGAACCACCAGCCTCCCTCCATCTCCTTCTTCTGTCAAACCCCAGTTCCCCCCACCCCTTCACCAAGCTTGTCGCCAGCGCTGAGGGCCTCAGCTTGTGTGAGAATAAAAGGTAGTAAGTAGAAACACCGTCTGTTTCTTTACAAGGTGACTGAAGACCCTGAATCCGTGAGTCTGAGAACATAGCCCAGGGAGCCAGACTCACTGGGTTTCCAGTATAACATGCAGGACTCCTTACTTCTAATAAGACTCAGGCTCTGGCCTACAGTTCTTTAAGCACCAGCTCGTGTCGGTGACTTTCAGCAACCCCCGCCACCCCATTTCTACATTAGGAACAGCATGAGCAGGATGTCAGATGGCACACAGCCCTGGTGTTGGGGCTGCTGGGAGGTAGGGCTGTGGGGCTGCAGCCATGTCCTGAGGGATGACTGTGCTAGGAAGGAGCCTCTCTGACTGCTTCCTTAAATTTTTGAAGAGCCCCAAATCAAGTTTAGTGAAATTTCTCCATTTCTAACTGAAGATTTACGGTGGGTCACTGAAGCCATTGGGCCCCCTCCTCTGTGGCCTCTGTTCTGACCAACATGCTTACTAAGGAGGGGAGCTCTGGGAACATAGCCCAGGGTTAAGGCACAGATGGATGCCAAATTGGCCCGCAAGGCCTCAGCCCAGCTTGCTCTTCCTGCACAGCCTCTTGCTGTCTCCAGCAGAAGCTCACGGCCTTGGAGAGAAATCTATCTCCATGACCCCAGATGCTCTTCCCTGGCCTGGGCCAATGGAGGCCTATTCATTGTCACCAGATGTATCTTTCAAGTGCATCTGCTTTTTGTTTTCATTATCACAGACTCTTCCTCCCCTGGACATGAGGGCAACTCAATCCAAAGTGGTTTTCCTATTCCTGCTAAACCTGCCTCAGCTTTATCCACCATGTGCCTCAAGAGGGCTGCCCCCCAGTTCAAGTCCTAACTCCAACAGGCTGGGAAGGCCTCTGGGTATTTGCACAGCCCACCCCAGGATCGGACAACAATCACAACCATGTTTGAGCTTAGAGGAGACCTTCTGCAGGAAGCCTCCCTCACCCCAATTCAACACCAGGGCACTTCGCTGAGCGAGCGCTTCCATTCACACAGCACCCCAGAGTCTGCATGGTCACACAAGCAAATCCCGAGCTGTGGTTTGTCCACCTCCAAGTGTCAGCCATATTCCCTTCCAAGGAGAAGTCAACAGCAAAACTTTTGCCCCAGATGCACTGGGAACTTGCACTTTTCCTTAACAGTCTTTTATTTTCTGAGTTCTTACAAAAAGCCCACAAACAACATGGGGAAAAACTGACAAAAGGAGGACAGAGCCTCAGCTGGAGAGAGGGGCAGGGACGGAGCTGCAGGACACAGGCGGAGAGCCCGAGGCCAATGGGCACGGAGGTTCTGTTGGGAGAGGGGCAGGTCACTTAAAAAAATATATATACTGTACACATCTCTATGAAGTGTCCTGTGCTGGGACAGAGGTCAGGTGCGGGTTGGCAAGCAGGATGAGAGAGCTGGGCGTCCTCCTCTGACCAGCCCCCCGCAGGGCTCCTCGCTCTCTGCTTGTGCATCGAAGCTGGCCATCTTCTTCTGGGGAGGGACGGAAGGTTAAAAATTCAATTCCAACTCATAGTCAGCAGAGGCAGGGGGCTGGACACCACTTAGCTAAGAAATCCCTGGGGAAGGAAACAGCCAGATATGATTTCCTGACCTTTTTCTCCAAGGAGAATGGAATCAAATCAAATCAAAATCTGATGTCCTGGATGCAGGGAAGGGCATTAACTGACCACAGTGGACACTTAAGCGCCGACTGTGTTCTGGGAAACGGGCCGAGTGCTCTGGTGCTGAGCTTCACTTGACCCTCATGGCAGGCTGTGTCACCCCCACTCACAGGGGTGGTGAAACAGGGTCGTGTTCAGTGAGGCAGAGCACCTAACCCCATCACACAGCCCCTCATCCCCCAGCACAGATGTGCTGGAATGGCTTATCTTGAATGAATCATCTTCTTTTCTGTGAGTAAATGTCCTCAAGTTACACCTCACAAGGAAGCACAAGTCACAAACACGAAGGAACAAGCTGAACCCGACAGCTCAGGGCTCACCTCATCTAGGAGACACAACTGCGGTGCCCACTCAGGGATGGCCACTGCCATGACCGTTCTGGACCCTGACTGCCACCCTAGTCCCGGGTCTCGTCCCACTGACCTCAAAGAGCCAGGAACAACGGCAGCACCCCCTCCCTTGGGGTCCTCTACTAGCACCTGGCTGGTGCCCTGGGAACTGCCCTCCCATCCTCACCAGGGAGGGGCGGTCAGCAAGGGTTCCCAGACCAGGACGCATACCTGATGCTTGTGCCCTCAGAGAGCCTGCTCTGCCATCTTCTTCTGTGAAGAGAGAAGAGAGGTTCATATAGAGAGGTGTCTCCCCCAGGACAGATGTGGGGTATACAGGGAACCCCTGAGGGAGGAATAGTGCTTACACGCCCTGGAGGAAGGAGCCAGGATGTGGCAGCCATAGCTGTTCAGCTTCTCTGAACACAGCCAAGGCCCTCCGCCATGCAGGAGCATCACCTGTGCACGCGGGGCTGGGCCCCACTCAGAGGGCAACACTTGGACGCCTTAGGGCAGACAGTGTGCCACGTTTGCAATGAAGTTCTTGCCAGGAGGGCAGCAGGAATGTTTCCACTTGCCTTGTTCCCAGGGTCTCCCCTTCTTTCACCTACCCCCACTACATCCTTCCACCTCACAGGCCAGACAGGCCACCTCCTGGCTTCCATGACAGACGTCATCCCTCCTCATGGTGGTACATGCCTGCTCTTGTCATGAGCAACAATTCACGCTCCCTCCCAGCTGGACCCGGGGACTGGCGACGGGTAGGGAAGCAGCTCTGGCTTGCCTGGCTGCAGGCTGATGTGTGTGGGATGAGCCAAGAGGTCGGGGTTCCTGTTTTTGGTCTCAGATCCCTCAAAAACTCACTATACCTTTTTCTTCTTTTTTTTCTGCAATAGTGAATCAGTGTCTTTACTTGAGGCCTTTTTTGCCTTCTTCTTCTTTTCCTTTTTTTCCTTGTCTTTTTTTTCTGTGGGAACAAAGTCAACTTCCTAAACAACAGATGTTAACTTTAAGGGGCTGGGGTCAATGTCAGGAGACACAGGGCATGTCTCTAGGGGTCAAACTCACTCCTCCCAAGGTTGGGCCCCTGACTCTCCCCATACCCTGAGGCCTGCAGGTGCCTGTACTACTTCTCTTGGCCTGAGAGTCTCTGGGAGCCAGAGGGATTTCTGCCCCATTCATGCACAAGCTGGCCTGGTACTATTTTCTTTAATTCACTTTTTAAAAACTTCTATATATTATATATTAAAAAAAAGACTTCTACCTTTAAAAAGGTAGTATCACCCACTGCATGCAGCTGGGTGAGGGCTAGGCCAGCCCCCTGCACACAGAGCTCGCAAAGGGAAGCTTCCACTACTGACGGACCCTAGTGGCTAAGGGCTGGGTCCAAGAAGCCTAGCAGTGCTGGCCATGGGCCTGGGACACAGTCCTGGCTGTGTGAGACCTGCCCCTCCATGACCCTGCACAAACTGCCTCTCAGCCTCTCCCTTCTGTGTGGGCCAAGGGTCACCCCTGCGCGATGGGCCAACAGTCCTCAGCATGGCCTGGGACTCATGCTCTGGGCTGCAGCAGGCTACTTACTCTTGTCAGATTTCTTTTTTTCCTTCTTGTTCTTTGAATCACCTGCGTCTCCACCCTCCACCGTCACCACCCCCAGTTTTCCTTCTGGCTTCTCTTTGGCCCCTTGGGAGCCAGGAGACTCCTTCCCCTTCTTCTCCTTGATGTCACCACGTGCTCTGTCTCTCTTGGGTTTCTCTTTGGGAGTCCCTGGGGTCTTTTCTGGGACAGTGGTCCCCTCTCCACCTTCCCTGGACACCAGCTGCTTTTTCTTCTTGCTCCCAGGGGCCCTGGTTGCCGTCTGGTCTCCTGAAAGTTTCCGCTTGCGGCCCGCTCGGCCCTTCTTGCCACTCTCTTTGGTGGCATCCATGGCTTTCTTCCTTTCCTGCTCCAGCAGCTCTGTCAGGAACTTCACCACTGAGGCCTGTATCTGAGCCTCACTCAGGGGCCAGGGCTCACTCAGGAGGCGCTGGGCAATGTCACTCTGCAGGGCCAACGTGGAGGCCTGGAGGTTCCCTGCTCCCTTCTTGGGCTTCTGGGGCTTCTGAGGGGTGGTGCTAACCTCTCTTCTGCCTATGGAGAGAACTTGTAGTCACAGATCTGGGAAAGTAGGGGGACAGACCTCTTATGGTTTAAGAGCCCAGGGGATCCAAGGACAGAAATGACAGGAGCCTCCCTGGTGGCACAGGTGTTAAGCTATCAGCAGCCACTGTAACATGAGTTCGATCCCAGGCCAGGGAGCTGACCCACATGGTACGGCAGACCTCTCCTATCTCACCTGCTGCTCCCATCAGCAGTTTATTTCAGTAGATCTGCCTGTTCTGCTCCCCACTGTCTCTGGTGAATCCCTGCCCCCACCGCTGGCCTGTATGCCAGTTCTTGTATGCATAAATAAATCTTGAAAAAAAAAGAAAAAGAGAACTCACAAGGGACAGAAAGGAAAGTGAGGCCCAGCAGTCACTTTGCGCGTCCCCCCAGCCCCACCTCCTTGCTCACACCTTTCCACCACCTTCTAACAGAGCTCTGTCCCCTCATTCAAAACTCAAGTTTGAGTTGGTGGTAGAAAATGACTCCAGCAAGTTAACAAAAAGGCTGGAAATCTAGCAATGAAATGCAAAGGTCAGATAGGAGCAAAGTGGTATTGTGTAATCATAAGCTGGGAGACAGAGGGCCTGGGGGCAGGTCTGACCACCACCAAGATGCTCTGTGACTTAGCTCTTCCGCTTCTGTTTGTAAAACAAGGTGTTACAGCAGGGAGATCCCCTCACGGTGTACAACTCCTTGATACAAGCAAAGGCCAGGCAACCGCTTAACGCACGCCCAACTACACACAGTGGGCCCAGCCCTGCCTTCTGGGGGTCCAGGTGGCTAGGGGAGCGCTGGGTGTGGAGTACATGCATGTCACAGCTGACTAAGCAGGTTTGCCACCTGCCAGAGTGACTTCTGTGCAGCCTTTGTTTAGAATATTCCCCAGGGCCTCCCCTGGTGGAGCAGGCGGTTGAGCGCAGTGCTGTGAAGCTATCTGCAGGGTTTGATTCCGGCCTGCTGGCGAGGGTCCACATGGTGCAGCAGACCTCTCCTGTCGCGCCTCTGCTCCCCTCAGCAGTGTATTTCGTCAGTCTGCCTGTTCTGTTTCTGCTCCGTCTCTGGTGAATCCTCTCTCCCTCTCACGAATCTGGCCTGTATCCTGGTTCTTGTATAAATAAATCTTTAAAAAAAAAAAAATATTCCCCACCTCTGTCTGTGCTCCTTTGATTACTGTGTGCTGACTACATGTATAAAAATTCCCTCCATTCTAAGAGATGTCCCTCTTAGACATCTCCCCGGGGACCTGCCTCTCACAGAGCATACTAGGAGCAAAGTGGGCAAAGATGTCTTACTGACTGGCACCAGCAGGTAGCAACTGAAGCCGAGGATGGGGAGTATGGGTTGTCAGCATGTGTCCATGCCACCCTGACCTGCCCCAGAGACTTGGGCAGAAAGGGCCCAACTCTACCCTGGGCTCACAGGAACCGAGCGTCATACCAGACCCTGCTCTACCTCATAAGTTGGGGCTGCTCCCTGCAGTGGGAAGTGGCTAAGGCAGACAGGCAGGGCACATGGCGGCGGGGGGGAGGGGCGAGGTGTCCTAGGACAGGGAGAAGCCCAGTCTAGTCCTCTGGGATTCCTGGCAAGGTCAGAGGTTGGCTGGAGAGGAAAACCAAGGAGGGCACAGTCTGCCCTGGCAACCTCTCTCCCCAAAGCTCACCTCTCAGCTTCTTGCCTGCAAATACCCTAGAACATCAAGGCTGGGAAGCCCTAGAGCTTTCCTGGGGTGCCTGTCTGATAGCTGAGCTAGCACCAGCAGAGTAGGGGTGCCTGTGGCCCCAGGCAGTGATCTGAGCACACCAAGTCAACCTTTCAAAAACTCATGGCCACCATCTCCACGTGCCACCCCTCAACATCCACTGCCTCAACCACTGTGAGCATGGCTGAGACACAGAGGCCAGAGTTCATCAGGTTTTAGAGCAAATCAGACCATCGCTGGGTCTTTTATAAGATATGAAGATTCTCAACTTGGCCCCCACCCTTTTTCTGTGCTATCCTGCCCCACCATAATCGCATTTGCTGGGAAGAAAAGCTGCAGGGAAAGCTAGAGAGCCAAGGCCTACTATACAAACCAAAATGCATTTCCTTTAGGAAAGTGGTCACCCAACCAAAAGCCAGACAAAGCCACCTGGTGAGAGGTCCCCAGCCACCTCTGAGGAGGCCTTGTGGCAGACAGGAGTAGATTCACAGGACTATTTCTGTGGGAGGAAAAGAGGCCTAGTATCTCTGGGTCACTGACTTGCCCTTTTGTGTCCTGTCTGGCTGTGTCCTTGCTGTGGACCCTGACTTACCTGTTTTAGGGGATATGGTGCTTGCTGCTTGTTGGGGCTCCAATCTCCACTTGCCATCAGGGGCATCTCTAGTGGTTGGAGTAGAGGAAACCGAGGGGTTGGAATTGGGCCTGGAAGTGGCCTTTGAAGCCTGGGAATTGGCCGGAGTCTGTCCAGGGGTCACAGAACCTGAGAGGAGAGACTGAAGAAGCCCTTGTGAAGAGGGGGGGATGTGGTCCTACCCAGCCCAAGCACATGGTCCATTGAGCGCTGTCCAGGGACCCAAGAGGGGGTCAGAACTTCAGCGTGGAGCAGGGGGCACAGAGGCCCAAAGTGGGCAACCAGCTCTGGATGTGTACCTCCTGTGCTGTTTTATTCATACACAGTTTAGATAGGCCCATTTAAAGAGGGCATTTCTTACTCTGAATACAAACAGTGAGTTATAAGCACCCTCCATATACAGAGGGTAACTTGGACGTGGGAGGTGGGTGAGAGCCTGGTCCCGGCCCAAGCCCCGAGTTGCCAGCTGCTACCCTGCAGTTACCTGGGAAGGTTCCACCACCTCATCATCACTGGACTCTGATGAGGTTTCCTCCACCAAGGTCTCCTTCCTGGAGGGGGCTGGGCCTACGGAGAAGCACAGGGGTCCTGCTAGGGCCCAGTTCCTCCACATGCTCCTCACCCTGTTCTCCCGCCCAAGGCATCACCTGCTTCCTGATCTTCCCCCGACCACTATTCACAGCATTGCAGGCGAGACTCACAAACACCAAAATTTGTTACAGTCCCCAAGGTCCCACGAACATATACCTGCTTTCCCATGCAGTGGGGGGCACAGCCCTGGGATTCTGGGGGACAGTTATGGAAGTCTGATACCAGGAAGCTGGGAGTGGTCATACATCAGAGTCAGGTCTCTGATGTCATCTGGACAGACTTCCTTGTGGGGTGGTGATAGTGGGGAGAATGAGGCCAAGCATGGGATAACTAGGCCAAGTTGCAAAACAAGTGGAGATACAGAGGGAGGCTGGTGCCACTGGGCCATCTCTTCCCACCTCCAGGCCCACCCAGACTTTTCCTGTGGGACACTCACCTAGCCTCTGGGTCAAAGGGGGTGCCTGCCCTGCCTCAGCATTCGCCTCACTCCCTGAAGAGCTGCTGTCCTCACTGTCTTCTGAGGTCCCAGAAGCCTTGCCTTTGGCGTGTCCTGAAGGAGCAGCCGTGGCCTTCTGGACTGCAGGAATCTCAGGCTTCCTGAGCTTGCTGGTGCTTCGGTCCTGCACAGGCGTTCTCTGGGGACTGGTCACAGGGTGCACACCCACAGCACTGTTCATCTAATTGGGCAAAAGGAGAAAGAGTAGAAGGAAAAATTAGGGGAGATAAGATCTGCTTACTGAACACCTGAGTCACACAGGCACTTGTCAGGTGCATCACACACGTGACCTGCTTAACCTTCCCAGGACTCTTAGATGGGGTCACCGAGGCTGGGGAGGTAAGTCCATGAGCCGAGGTCATGGGCAGGTAGTGTGACACCCAGCTTGGCCTTACCTGGGCCCTCCCTACCCTCTGTGCTCTCTGACCATAATTCCCTCCGGGGTGAGGCCTGGCTCCTTTGGCTCCCTCCTCACCCCATTTGAAGATGGGGTCGTGGAAGCTGAAAGCTGGGTCTCACTGGCTTTCTGGGCAAGGACCTTCAGGGCAGCCTGGGTCAGCGGGAGGTTGGCTGGGTTCCTCTTTGTCACCTGTGGACAGTCAAAGGCAGCCCTGAGATGCTGGGCTCTTGGGATACCCCGGTGCCATGCCCTGGCCACAGCCTGTCTGGCTGGAGAAGAAAGGGACCTGTATCTACAAAAGAAGCCTCGGGGCTGGAATGGTGAGTGACCAAAGGGCCGGAGCCGCCATTTGGGTAGAAAATGCCAGGCTTTGGGTTTATGAGCTAATCACATGGTTCCCAGAGGGCCCAACACAGCTCCCAGGTTCAGGAAGGAAGCCCCACCACTCAGTCTGTGCTGACTCCGGGGACAAGTCTCTAGCCTGGGGAGCCGCAACAACCTCAAGTCTCCCTGGTATCGCTCCCGCTTCCCACACCAGCAGCGGGGGAGAGAGAACTCAAAGAACTGGGCTTAGATTCCATGAAAACCACCTGCTCCCTTCCCCCCCCACTGGCCCCTTATCCCGGCCCCTGGCTGCTTCTTCCAGCCCCCCGAACCCCAAACACTTTCATGGAGGGTCCCTGCTCTAGCCCCCTGCTTCTCCTGCTTCAAAGCTGCCTCCAGAGGCCAGTTCCACTAGTCCTTTCTAAAGCAGGTCACCTTTTTATTCTCTAGTTTATATGGTTTCCTTCAAAGCACCCACCAGTTGGTGAGTACTTGTGATGCTGTGATTTATATAAGAAATATATATTTGGTCTTTGTCCTGTTTCTGGTACAGTGATCCTAAAACTCTGGGAATTTTTAGGTGTTGTGAGTGATAAGGAACCTCTTGCTATGGGAATGAGGTGCCTTCGGGAAGTACCTAAGGATGGGGACTAGTTCCCAGAGGAACCAACCATGGGATTGGAGGGTTGGAACTTCCTGCTCTGCCCATAGCATCTGGGGAGGGAGGAGGGGCTGAAGGCTGAATCAAGTGCCAATGTCCAGCGAGGTCACCAGTCATGTCTAGTGAAGCATCTGTAAAAACCCCAAAGGAGGGGCTTTTCTGAGAGCCTCTGGGTTGGTGAACATGTACTAGGAGAGGGGGTTCATGAAAGCCCTGCCCCCCAGCCTCGCCTGTTACGAGCCTCCCATCTGGCTGTTCCCGTGTCTCCTCTAGCATCCCCTTTTATAATTAAGCAGTAATCCAGTAAGTAAAACGTTTCTCTGTATTCTGTCAGCTGCTCTACCAAACTAATTAAACCCAATGAGGAGGGTCTTGGGAATCTTGGTTTACAGCCATCTGGTGAGAAGCACAGGTTGCTGCCTGGGCTTGTGCCTCTAGTCTGAAGCTTGCTGGTGTGGGCACGTTCCCCTGACACACATGCTGCCCTTCTAGTACTTTGTGTAGTTTTGGTTTCCTTGTGTAATGGCTGCCTCCTCACTTGCTCAGGAACTTCACAAGGGCAGGGGCCCTCCCTGTACCTTCCATGCCTGGCACAGAGGCTCAGTGCTGTCTGCTGGCCGAATGGCCACGGAGACCAGTCTAGCTGCCCTTGGCACCCGCGTTCCCAGCAAGCTCTTGCTGGGTTGTAGCTGGTGATCAGCCCCACTGTGCTGGGGGGGACCCAACTCCAGGCAGGCTCCAGGTCTCTCCTGCTCCCTCAGATTGAAGGGGTGGGAGCCATGGGCACGACACAAACTGCTATGGTCCAAGGAGCCATGGTGGGGGATGAGGGGACTTGGGTTCTGGCCCTGCCTCCTCCTGGACAAGTCTTGGTCCTCTTATTGAGCTTAATAGAGCTGATATGCTCTTGTTTCATCTTCTGAACAATGAGTCAGTAACTATCTGACCAGCTTTTAGATTTAGCCAAGGACCAAAATGAAAGTGCACAGAAAACAGCAGGATAGGGCCTCCCTGGAGGCGCAGCAGTTGAGTGCTGGGTTGTGAAGCTCCCCGTAGCCTCTGCAGTGCCAGTTCAATCCCCGGTTGCTGGCCAAGGGTGCCACATGGCGCGCAGACTTCTCCTGCCATGCCTGCTGCTCCCTTCAGCAGTGTACTTTGTCAGTCTGCCTGCTCTGCTCTCCCCTCTGGCTCTGGTGAATTCTCTCACCCTCCTGCGCTTCTGACTGTACCCAGTGCTTGTATAAATAAATAAATAAATCTTAAAAAAAAAAAAAAAAAAAAAAAAAGCTTAAAAAAAAAAAAAGAAAAATGGCAAGATAGGCTAAGACTGCAGTCGCTACTGTGAATGCCACAAGGGGGCAATTTGGGTGTGTGGCATTTCAAAATTGGGAGAGAACCAAAAACCTAAACAAAAGCCCAATACAGTTGAAAGTTGACCAGGGATTTGGAGAAGCCAGGTTCCTAGGTGACTTCTGACAACTCGAAAGTTGGGAGCCCAGCACCAGAGCTGTGCCCAGAGGCCACGATCAGCTCTGGAGGAGGGGCAGCTACCTCTGGGGAGTGGCTGAGAGGAATGACTTCCAACCCACAGTTCTCATCAGCAGGGGTCAGCCAGAGAGACCCTCACACCGGCTGGCCTACACAGCCCTACTGGTACGCCAGGTACCTGAGCAGATGGTGTCTCCAGCTTCTTGCCTTCCAAGGCTTGACCAGATGCCTTACTGCTGCTGGCCCCGCCAACTCCGGCTCCGAGGACGTTCCTTGGGTGGGCTGTGGGCACCGTCACCACATTGGTTCTAACAGCTAAAATGGAGTGAGATGGGGGCACGTCAGGGCCTCTGCAGTTATTTCTTCAGTGTCCTGTCTGAGCCAAGCAGCCACTGCTTCCATGTTACAGAGACCAGAGGGGCTGTGGCAGTCCAGACTTCCACCTTGCCCCCCCAGCCCAAAGGCCTCCATGATATTCCCCTGCCCAAGCTGGCCAGACAGTTACTCCTGAGCAATGGACCACAAGAGGCTCATTTACACCATGTTCAATGCAGCAGGCCTAACAGCCAAGACCCCGCCTCCAACAAAACCCCAGGTTCCTCCAACATGCACCAGCCTAAGGAAGCCAAGGGGTGTCCACCCAAAGGATTCCTGGTGGCCAGCAGGAACCATGCCGTAAACACACAGGTCAAAGATCACCAAGTACATGGACAGCATGGTCTCATTCAAAACACACAGGTAGTATCTTAGGTTTCCATAACATTAAATTATGGCAATGAGATTACAGGTGGTATTTTTTCTTTTGTGCTAATCTAAATTTCTTGATTAGTCTACCAAGATCAAGCATTATTAACATCCTAATGAAGAGTCTTACAGTCACAATAGTGGTACTATTAGCCGTATTTTTTTTTCTGTTGTCACTGGTAGAATCACATATTCTCATACATCAAAGAAATTCCAGATCTGGTCCTCTTCTCCTGTTGATAGATGGACCCTTCCCTACAGGATCAGTTTAGGGATGACCTAACCCCCTTTCTATGCCTACAGAAACAGGAGCCCAGAACTTCAGCACTCCCCAAATTAAGGTAGTTATTACAAAGCTCTTTCCTAGATTGTAAAATCTCATGCAGCAAAAGAAACCCCGGCGAATGTTGCCCTGGGACAAGAGCTGAGCCAGCTCCCCACAGGGATGAACAAATGCGGGCCCTGAGCCCTTCTGACCACAGCTTGCTGTGTGACATGGCCAGCAACCTCTCCCACCTGGAACTCCATGGAGAGGGGGTGGCTGGTAGTCCCCTCAATCCAAGCCTGGCAATCTGGCAGTTGCCAAGGGGGAGTCGGTCCTGCCTCAGGGCCCACGCTCACCGGGAGTGGAGAGCTGCGTGGCGGGGATCACGTCCTCATCCTCGCTCTCTGAGGAGGAGCTCCTGGCTGTATTCTCTGAGGCCCGGGCCTTCCTCGGGGTGCTCGCAGCCTGGGCTTGCGTAGAGGTAGCCGCCGGGCCAGCTGGACTACGATTAGGGTCGACAAAAATCAGAGGGGGTTTAATCACCTTGAAAAACAAAAACAAAACATACCCCCCCAGTGATTAAAGGTTTGGCCAGGGGAGGGGAGACAGGCTGGGGTAGGGCTTTTAAGGCAAAGGGTCCAGAGTTCAGGATAGTCAGATAGCCAGAGGCCATTCCAGCTGCTCAGGGCGCTCTCAGCTCACCCCCAGCCCATGGCCTCTAAGAACGTGCACAGCACTTCACAGCTCACAGGAGCCCTTCTGACCCTCCCCCCACCCCAAATCCCTGAAGACAGTGGTATGATCCTCATGGTACAGATGGGAAAACCCACACATCCAGAGAGGGGAAGATTGTGGCCTGAGGTCACACAGCCTGAGAGAGTGTAACTCAGCCTCCTGCCTCTGGCCAACTTCAGAGACAGATGACTGGTGAGTGTGGTGCTAGAGAGGTCGCCTGGAGAGGGGTTCACTATCCAGGTGCCCTACCCCCAGATCTTGGTGCCACCTTCTAAGATGGAACCCAGGACACAGACACTCAGATCCATCGACCAGTATAACAAAGTGTATGGCAAAGATGCAAGGCACTAATGATCCTGGGAAGGGTGTGGCCCTTATGTGAACATACCAAATACAAAAATGACCATTAATGAGATAATCACAGAATCGGCACACTGACTAGGAAGGTTCCTGTTTTAGGTGTGATATATGTTGTGGTTGTGCTTTTTTAAAAAGAAAAGCTCTTATCATTCAGAATTGCAAAGCAAGATCTGGTGGAGATGAGACATGTAAGTCAGGCTTCTAAGTGGCCAGGAATGTCGGGGAACTCAGTGGAGGGCTTGGATGCAAGGGTCACGAGTCTGTCATTGCCCAGCAGGGGTTCTTTATGTGATTCATCTGGGAGACTCTCAATAAGACATTGCAAGAAAGACAAGAGCAGCAGCAGTGCCCCCTGGTACTTCCTGGACCCGGTCATGCTGGGAATACAGCCCCAGCACCAGAACAGGCTGAGGCACCGAAGGGTACCTGAGCGCAGTGTGGCCACAAGCCAGAGAATGCTGGGTCTAGTTCCTATTCCCAAGGTCAGATCCTGACCAAGTTCTGCTCCCTTTCTGGCTAGTATGAGCAGACATAGGGCAGTAGTGGGGAGCTGACTGAGGTCACTGTCTGGTACCCGGGTCTTTCCCAGCACAGCACCCTGCCTACCTCCTGAGCCCTACTCCAGCCTGGCCCCCAGGGTCTATGAGAACACAGGGAAAAGCAAAAGAAAGGGGGCCCTGAGGCTGAAGCTCTGCCCTTCCTACCCCTGCCAAACAGCCTCCCCCGCGGCCGCTCTGATCTGCCACTTCCAGAGCGTTCCTTCCCACGTGATGAAACAGAGAAGGATGCAAAGTGGGAGAAAGCTTACAGTTGAGGGAGGGGGGGGATCTATATATATGTGAGAAGACAGAGGAACAGATTGTCGGGGACAGAGAGAAGCAACGAACCCACTGAGGCAAACAATAGCGTCTGGGATGTTAAAAGCAGCTCAGCAGCAAAAGGCGCCACCTCCTCATTCCACCAGCCCACGCTGGCCCACCGGCCTCTGGGCTGTGGGGGTGCAGGAGCCTGGCTGTGGAGGGCAGAGCACAAGGAACCCTGGCTGTGCCCCGGGCGTGGAGTGTGCAAAGGTGGGCCAAACCATCTAAGGGCGTGGGGACACTTGCTTCTGAACGCTGTCTGCCACTGTGGCTGAACCCCTGAGCTTTGGAAGCCTTTTCCCACCTGTTGAACAGGCCCTTAATTATCCCAGCTTGGGCTCACTCATTGGGGCGGCTGTTGCCACTGCACAAGGTCACGAGGCAGAGTACATGCAGGGTGACAAGGGCCTCCTTCTGGGATTGGTTAGAGAAGACCCATCAATAGCTGACATGGCGGAACGATTATGACTGAACCTTGGCTGAGTTCCCAGGAGGTACTGGGCAGTGAGGCCCTCCAGGAATGCAGGGTGGCTCTAAGCACCTCCTCAGGACTGCCTGGGGCTGGTGAATGGACCCCAGGCCAGGCCCATCCCGGAATACCCAGCAAATTGGTGCCAGAGCCAGGACTAGAAGTTGGTCCTGCATGCACTAGCTGGGAGAGCCTTCTGGGAGCGCCTTCCATGGCTAAGCATGCCAGGCCTCTTGATTTAATGCTCCATTTAGCTTCTTATAGGTCTTCTTTTCTCTCTTGGAGGGTGGAGCCCAAGTCTTTTTAATTTGGTGCCTAGCCAGGGCCAGCAAACAGGGCTAAGCCACAAACCATTGCCCTGAAATATCTCTTAGGTGGGGAGACTGAGGCACAGTAAGGGGGCCTGGGAACAGAGTCAGTATCCACTCTGCCTCCCAGTTCTGCCATGACCCTGGCATCCGTCCCTTCCCCGACTGAGGGGTTAACAATAAAAACATAGCGAAACTTGTCAATAGAGAAGAGCCTGATAAATGCATAATGATAATAATCATAATTAGTGGGCTGGGGATTAGGAGCTAAACCCCCCGTTAGGAGGAGGCTGCAGCTTCCCCAGGCTGTGCGTCTTCCCTGAATCCTCCCAGGGAAAGCATAAACTGCTGACTTTTTTCCTCTTTCTTTTTTAATAGGGATCCAGAATCTTGGGGACTAACGTACCAATTATATGGTTCAGTTTAAGCATGATGTTCATTTTAATTGTGTTAGTCCGCCCCCGCAGAGAAGGGGGAAGCGCCCCCTCCCTCCCAGCTGTTTAGCTCCTGCACAGTGAAGAATGCAGTCTCCTAAAGTCTCCAGAGAGCCATGGCAAGGCCGCTTTCCTTTAAGAAGGGGTCAAGTCAGAGCAGAGGTGGCGTGGGCTCAAACCCCAGGTCAGTCCAGTGCTGGCAGTGTTGTGATACAGGCCTCACTCCCTCCTCAAAATGGGAATAAATGAGCTGCCCTCAAGGGGATGTTACAGGGATTAAACAGAATGCTTAGGACCCCCCCACAACCAAAGAAAGGGACCCCTAATATCAAATGGAGCTGTTCCTCACTTCTTCAGACTTGTGTTATTGAGAAGGGACCAGCAGGCACACTCATTGCTGGAGTGGGCACACAGCATCTGACCCACTGAGAGCAGATCAACACCAGTGTGACATGTAGGGGGAGATGGCTGAAGTGACTCCACACCGCTCTTCTAGCCACAGGACCCAGTGTCACAATGAATTGAATGAGAGGGCTTCCCTGCACCCCTGATGGTGCAACGGGTTAAGTTGCAGTTTTGTATCCAGGCATCCTTGTGAAGCCCAGGCATTTCTGGCAGATGGCACTGCCCTGGGTCCTCCGGCACCAAGCTCCTGGAAGCATTTTTTTCTTTCCTTTTTAAAGATTTATTTATTTATGCATATAAGAACTGGGGTCTAGGCCAGGGGAGTGGGGAGTGAGAGGATTCATCAGAGACAGAGTGGGGAACAGAACAGGCAGGTCTACTGAAATACACTGCTGAGGGGAGCAGTGGGCAAGACAGGAGAGTTCTGCTGCACCATATGGGTAACTTACTGGCCCTGGAATTAAGACAGCTGTAATAGGCCCTGGTCTTAGGGCAGCAGTCTGGGGAGATGACCAGGGCAGGTAAGCAGTGCCGTGATGTGCCACAGGTGCTGGAGTGAGGGCCTTGGGTCAGGCCCGGGGGATTCTGACCAGCCCTGCAAAAAGGCTCCTGATGCCCAATTGAAGGAGAGACCTAGAGGGAGTCAGAGGCTGGCACCTGCCCCTTCTGCTCCTTATAGGTCATGGGAATTTGGGGAGATCCCTTCAAACCACAGGGCTTGATCCCTAGCACTGAAGGGGCAATGCTACTTGCCCTCCCACAATGGCAGCACTCCGGCCAGGCTGCTGGAGGGCAAGGTGGAAGGGTGCCTTAGGTTTGCACAAGGAGACCAGAGCAGGGGAGCTGGTAGTGGGAATTTCTTAGCTCTTTAGATGCTGCTGCAGCTCTGGTGTGCGTGCATGGTGGGAGGACCACCACCCTGCCTGCTCCACAGACATATCCAGGCCTCGGCATAGGGAAGGGCTGTGTTGCAGAGCCATGAGTGAAAGAGCCCAGCGCTGACCCTACACTATCGAGCTCTGGCGCCATCCTCACAGTAGGTGAGGATGAACGTGTCCAAATATGCAGAACGCGCTCTGGAAACTGGGAAGTGCTGTTTACACAGGAAAGATCTGCCTTTGTGCCCCAGGCCCACTGGCCCTGCTGTGTGTCTACAGGGTCCTCAGAGAGAAGAGGAACCACCCACCTGGCTCGCCGGAAGCTCCTCGTCACTGCTTTCGGAGGATCCCTCTGTGTTGTTCTTCTCTGGAGGTGCAGAAGCCAGAGTCTTGCTTCTTGAAGTCTTAGAGTTTTTCTCCTTCTGAGGGGACAAGCACGTGGAGGGGCATCAGATGAGAGGGACCAGGACTGGGGAAGTCATGGCTGGTAGGAATGACCCCACACATGCTGGCTCTCCAGGGAAGGCCTCCTATATGTCCACAGGAGAGCTGCTTCCTGCCAGAGCTGACTCTGAACTTGAAAGAGATGTAGGAGTCAGACACCACAAAACCCTGCTGTTGAGTGCTGTCAGCCAGGCTTCTGATGGAGGGTGCAATGGCCCAGGACATCTCACACCCGGCAGTAAGATTCCCAGCTAAAAGTGGGAACTGCCAGCCGCTCCTGCCACACCGGCCATAAACAAGTAGGTAGGCTGGCCAGGTGGGAACTACAATCAGGGGTCAGAAGAGAGCAGTGAGCAGCAGCTTGGGGGAAGCCAGGGCTGAGGTGGGGGGGGGGGGCAGCACCTTGCGTCTCACTGGCTTGAGAGTCCCACCTGTCACTGCTCAGCCCAGCCCAAAGAAAGGGACCCAGGTTGCCGGAGCACCCAACTTCTCCAAAGAAGGTTGAAACTAGATCCTAAGTGGTGTTATTTCCCAATTTTTAAATGGGTCAACTAAAATGTACATTATAGTCTTCCTTGCTAATAGGACCAACTCTGTTTTGGCCCCCCCCCCCCCCCAGGATGTGGGGAAAGTGGTCTCTTCTCCCAGTCAATCACGGGAACTGTGCGTCCTCATGATTGAGTGGCGTTGGGGGAAGGTGGAAGGAAGCCTTAGGTTTGGACAAGGAGACCAGGGCAGGGGAATTGGCAGTGGGAATTTCTTTAGGAGCTGCCACAGCTCTGCTGTGACAATGAGGCAGGAAGAACATGGGGTCCCTAATGATGCTGAGCTGAAGGAACCCTCTTGCTATACCCTTCCCCTGAGACTTCATGAACTATGAGATAATCCAGCCTCTTACAGTCTAAACCCTTGCAGACTGGGTTTTCTCCTGCAGATGAGGACATGGTGACCGACACACGCTACCCATTCAAAACTTATACAACAAAAGAGTCGCACAGTCCAAGGCATGGCTAGGCCTCGAGCCCCAGTCTAGCATTTAGGCCTCCATAAATGTCACTAGGAATAAGCAACCAGAAATGACTGGTGAGACTGGTCTTCCTTCAAGCTCAGCTCCTTGATCTCCCCTCTTGAACTGCACAGTCCAGTCACCTCATCTCACCCCATATAGTATAAGCTCTGTGAGGGCAGGGTTATCTTTAACCCTTCATCTCTCTCAACAAGACAGAGTTGGCCTGATACAGCAAAGGCAGAGGTTAGTGTACGAAGTATTTAATAGATACATTGGTGTCTGTTTTACACATGAGGAAAACAGAAACCTAAGCAGGTTGGAGCTTAGCCTGGGAAAGACTTCCAGCTTCCTTAGGACATGGAAGATGTGGCAATATGAGGTAATGGGTCACTAGGCCACACTGGCTAGAACCAACAGGGGCTCTCTCTCTATATGGGGCAGGGATGCTCCAGTTTGCTCTCCTGACACCAAGGCTCAATGTCAGTGTATTTACCCCGGTGTGTGAATCACTTCCATTACAAGTCTGGGCCTGCAAGAACTAGAGTCTGTACCTAGACCCCTGCAGGACATAGACACCTCTACTGCCTTCTGCGAGCAGAGACAATCATCCAGCTGAAAGTGGGCTCCTCATTCCTTCTCTCTCCCCACTCCCCATGCTGAGCTTGCCATGGGGGGAGGGGGGCACACTGTGAGGATCCCAGGCCTGGGTGAGGGACTGACTCCCTCTAGTGCTCCAGGGGCTTGTGGGACCTGTACCACAGCTCACAGCTCTTCAAGAAACTGTTTCTACAGTGTCTTTGCATTCTTGGTCTCATCTGGCCTGGTGGGAATGGCTGAACTAGTCCCGCATGGGGTTGGTATGTCCATTTGTCCTGGGGAGGCCTCGGTGGTAAGTGCCTTATGATACGTCCTCAGGGAGGACTTGGTTTGGCAGCTTCTTACAGTGCTCTTAGGTAAAACCTTAGGAGACATGTAGATGGTGTTGTCTTGTATTGGTCACCATGTAGATTCTGTTCTACTTCAGCCTGGTGCCCCCTCAGGGATAGAAGCTGGGGGCAGGGTTCTTGAATTAATCCTTAATGTGGTCTTTCTTTTCCACCTGGCCCCGAAACCATATTCTGACTGATAAGTGGGTGGCAGTGACTGGGAGCCCAGGTCTGTAGCTTCTTCCTCACTAGTCCTCACCTGGGCTGGGGGTACAGCAGCTGGTGTCTCCCCTTCGCTGTCTGATGACTCCTCGCTGCTGCTCTCTGAGTCTTTCTCTTGTTTCCCAGTCTGGGCAGCTGCAGGTCCTGTCTTCTGAGGAGGTGCTGGGCCAGCCTCTTTTCTAGGGGACCCTTTGGCAGGGGCTGAGGCAATTCTGACTTGCGGGGTATTCCCTGAGGGCTTTGCCTGGATTGAGAAAAACAGAATCAGGACAAGGAATCCAGAAGGATGCTGGAGACGTCTGGGCACACGCAGAACAATGTGTTGGGCAGCTCCTGGCACTCAGGGGAAGCATCCCCACCCTCCTCAGGCCTCACTTGAGCAGGCAGTGTCCCTTCACTGCTCTGAATCCTCCTCTGGGCCCCTGACTGGCCCTAGCTGGGCCTGGGTTGCTGCCTTTCCCGCAGCTGGTATGGGCACTTGGCCTCACTTAGATGGCACTGCTCTGGGGGGTTATGGCTGGCGGCTTTACCTGAATGGTGAGGAGGTTAAGCACTGGGGATGGAATAGACAGCATGCTTCCTTTTAGGTTAAGCTCCCACCTGTGGTGTGATGGTGGGGAGATTTGCCTGCTCATGCAGGGTCCTTCTCCAGGCTGGGGTCACTGTTTAGTTCTTTTCTCTCCCCCATTCCTGGCACCTCCCATGGCTTCTACCCCACTTGCCTTGGCTGGAGACCGCCAACTGGCTTGAGTGGCTGCAGTGACCACTTTTCCGGCAGCTGCCACGGCCTCTTTGACTGAAGCCGCTTTGGTGGAAGCTGGGCTGGCTTTGATCTGAGGAGTTTTCAGGGAGGCCTTCATCTGGAAGGAGAAAAGGAGTTATGGAAGGAGGTGGAATGGTTAGTTAAGAATGCTGGTTCTGGTGTCAGATGCCTAAGTTTGGATTCTGGCTCCTCCATTTACTATGTGAACCTGGGCAAATCATTTGACCCTACTGTAACTCAATTCCCTGCTCTGTAAAATGGGGATAATAATAAGGCCCATCCACAGGTTTACTGTGAGGAGTAAGTGGGAGAGTCTCTCTCTCTCTCTTTTTTTTTTTCAAAGATTTATTTGTGTGAGGTTTCCTTCTGCTTATTCTAATCTCAAAAGATATCCAGGGAGGGCCTCCCTGGTGGCGCAGTGGTTGAGCGCTGGGTTGCGAAGCTGCCCGCAGTCTCTGCAGTGCCAGTTCGATCCCTGGCTGCTCCCCGGCCACCGGAGGAGGGTCCCGCATGGCGCGCAGACCTCTCCTGCCGCCCGCTGCTCCCCTCAGCAGTGTACTTCGGTCCTTCTGCCTGCTCTGCTCCCCACTCTGGCTCTGGTGAATTCTCTCACCCTCCCGCACTTCTGACTGTACCCCAGTTCTTGTATAAATAAATAAATAAATCTTAAAAAAAAAAAAAGATATCCAAGGAATCCCCAAAATGCCTGCAAAATCTAACGCAGACTTTGAGAGAAAAGAGTAGTAGGGTAAAATTCTTGACAGAATGAGATTCTTGATGGGAATGTGAAAGTGAGTTCTGCGAATATGAAAGAGAACAAGGAATTTGGCAGCATCTCAAGGTTCTTGCCTCATTCCGGGAAGTCATCTGATCAGTGTCAGAAGATAACCACCAGAGCTGGATTCCCTCATCCATGTAAGTCCAAGTGAAAATAAGAGTCATTACTTCAAGAAAGAGAACTGCCTATAAAGCATAATGTGTGTGTGACTAAGAGGAAGGTACTACCAGGATAGCATTTAAGTTCCCTAGAGAGGAGTCATGGTTTTTTTTTTTTTTTTTTTTTTGTGGGACCCTTGCCGGCGGCCAGGGAACGAACCGGCGCAGCAGAGGCTGCAGGCAGCCTCACAGCCCAGTGCTCAACTGCTGCGCCACCAGGGGAGGCCCGGAGTAATGTATTTTATATACAAACACAAACCAAAGACACCAAGTCTAACTTCACTTAATAAATATTAATATATTTAAATCAGAATCAAAGCTGAAATCATAAAAAATGTTTTCTAGTCAGAACAGGGTTAAAGTAGAAGTCAACATAAATAATCCTCCACATCTAGAAATGAACCTACTTCTAAATAGCCCATGTTTCAAAACCCAACCCAACCCAGCCCAGACTCAAATAATAAAAATTAAAAATACATTTTAAAATTCAGGGTTGACACTAATGCAGTGTTAAGGAAATTCACAATTTAAAATACTTATATAAGGGCTAAAATAAAAAATTTAAGATTCCACCTTAAGCTAAAGGTGGAATCAAACCCCAAAGTAAAGGAACATAACAGACTATTACGAACAAATTTATGGACAACTGAGATGAAAACAGACAAGTTTCTAGAAAAGCACAAATTAACTACACAAAATTATTAAAAGGCACAAAATACAAACAAACTCAAGAAGAAAAAGTGTGAGTAGATCAGTATCAATAAAAAGAAATAGATTTTAGTAATTATTTTATTTATTTGTTTGTTTGTTTTTTTGTTTATACATGCACTGGGTACAGTCAGAAGCGCGGGAGGGTGAGAGAATTCACCAGAGCCAGAGCGGGGAGCAGAGCAGGCAGAAGGACCGAAGTACACTGCTGAGGGGAGCAGCGGGCGGCAGGAGAGGTCTGCGCGCCATGTGGGACCCTCCTCCGGTGGCCGGGGAGCAGCCGGAGATCGAACCCGCGCCTCAGAGGCTGCGGGCAGCTTCGCAACCCAGCACTCAACCGCTGCGCCACCGGGGAGGCCCTAGATTTTAGTAATTAAAGCCCTCTTCCCCTCCCCCCAACAAAAGCCCAGACCCAGATAGCTTCATGTTCAATTCTATCAAGAATTCTATCAATCCAATACAAACTCTTTCAGAAAATAGGGAATACTACTACTGAGCTCATTTTATGAGGCCAGTATCACCCCGCCACCAAAGCCAGACCAAGACATCACAAGAAAATTACTGACCAGTATTCCTTATGAACACAGATACAAAAGTTTTGAAGAAATGATTACCAAATTGAATCTGGCAACAAATAAAAGGGAGTATATATCATGACCAAGTGCAATTTATCCCAAGAATGAAAGGCTGATTTAATACCTGAGAATCAATTAATATGTGATATTAATAAAACAAAACAAAAAACTGTAAGATTATTTTGGTAGAGAAAAGTATTTGACAAATATCTAACTACCATTCTTAATAAAAGTTCTCAACAAACTGGAAGATGAGCACTTCCTCAATCTGATAAAGGGAATCTATAAAAAACGTACAGCTACCATCATATGTAATAGTCAAAGACTGAATGCTTTATCCTAAGATTAGAAACAGGCAAGGATATCTGCTCTCACCATTACTATTCAACACTGTACTAGAGATTTTAGCCAATGCAATAATGCAAGAAAAAGAAACAAGTTACTCAGAAAGAAAAGGAAAGCCACTAAAACTGACAAATATAACAAAGTCACAGGATATAAAATCAACATACAATAGAAGGTCAGGTTCAGAAGGCACCCCAGTTTCCTAGGCCACTGGTCAAACACTGATAGAACATCTTTCCATTCTTCTCACACAAGGGTTGCCATCCTAGGGCATTTAAATTCTGAATAGTCTTTTTCTTGAGTCTGGCACATTGGTTTTCCAGAATGAATATTTTGTCTTTGCTACTTTTAAATTTATTTCAAACTTTATCTCCTAAATTGATGGTTTGAGTTAGCTGGGTGCCTCTGAGCAGATCAGACTATTTGACTCCTATCAGATCCTGGCAATGCTGAACAATAGGGGATCCAAGTGTGTATACTTTTGAGGGTGAGGCCATATAAGTTTTCTCATTTAATCATCATAAAAACCCCATAATGGAGGCATAGTTATTATCCTCATCCTTCCATGAAGGCAAGGAAAAGGAGGTGTCAAACCAGACTCCCGTAAGCCCTGCCTATCTCAGCAAAGGTGTGTCAAACCTCCTGAAGCGAGGAAAGTACCATCTTCTGAGACAGTAGGCTATAAGGTAGGTCCCTAGAAAGGGATCAGTGGCTCTATTTTTTTTTTTTTTAACACTTTGAAAGGAAAGGTTTATTAGGAAAAAGGGATAGAAAAAGAGGTGCCTGCATAAATTCTATTTTTCATGCCAAGAAGGTAAAACCTTAAAACAACCATTTCTGTGCCTGGAGGAAGTAGAAAAGGTAGAAGCTCCAGAGGCAGGCCACCTCATTGGCAGACTGTGCTGGAACAAGTCACCAACATCTCCTCTAAGGCCAACCTTCTTCCTCCAGAAACCAAAGGAAATGAACACCCAGCTCATGGTACAGGTGGGATGCTCAGAGAGGAAGGCAAATATTTAAATGCTTGGCACAATGAAGCACTGTCAGGCACTGGTCTGGAATGTGTACGCATTCTGGAAAAAGGATAGGGGCCTGCTGGACTAAGACTCAGTAAGGGCCCAAAGTTCAAAACCTCAGTGAAGGAATCACAGGATTGTGAATCCACTAGCCAAGAAAGAGGGGGGGACAAAAACAAAACAAAACAAAAATCCATAAAAATGTGTGCTCAGGGCCTCCCTTGGTGGTGCAGCAGTTGAGCGCTGGGCTGCTAAGCTGCCCACAGCCTCTGCAGTGCTGGTTCGATCCCGGGCCACCAGCAAGGGTCCCACATGGCACGCAGACCTCTCCTGCTGCACTTGCTGCTCCCTCCAGCAGTGTATTTCGTCAGTCTGCCTGTTCTGTTCCCCATTCTATCTCTGGTGAATTCTCTCACCCTCCCACGCTTCTGACTGTACCCAGTGCTTATATAAATAAATAAATAAATCTTAAAAAAAAAAAAAAAAAAAAAAGCGTGCTCAGGTACAGGGGGAAAAATAACTAACTTCTGAGTGGTTACTGAAAAACCAGCGACAATTAAAAATAGTAACAGTGGGTAGGTGAGTGCAGGGAGTGAGCTCCTCTAGGCTGGGAGATTACTTTGATTCTGTTCTACTTCAGCATGGTGCCCCCTGAGGGTAAGAGTTTGCCATGTGCAGGCCCTTGCTGGATGTGGGGGGTTTACATTCTCCACCCTGTTGAGTGTTCATTTCTGATTCACAGAAGAGTGAACAGGCCCTGAGGGATCGCATCTCTTGCTAGGACACAGTGCTGGGACCTGAAACCCCTGCCACTCTCCCTACCCTATTGCCCCCATTCATCCTACCAGAATGCTCTGCTTGGGGCAATTAAGCAGGTCTCTGAATAGGTGGGCTTCTCTGCCCGGAATGCTGTCCATAGTCAATTCTTATAGCCCACACTAGATGCTACTTCCTCCAAGAGGGCTTCCCTCCCAAATGCCTCCTAAATGCTATCCCTAGCCATACGCCATATAACCCTATTCACACAGTCTGGAATCACCTATGTACATGTCCATACTACCCACTGAGGTGAGGGTCTCCCCAAAAGCCACCGCCACAGGAGACCCAGACAGGGCCCATCTCCCAGCACCAAAGACGGTGAAAAAGAGCTGGAGGAGAGCATGAAGACTCTCAGTGGGAGCTCAAAAGGCCATCCAGGAGACCCGACAGTGCTGATGGGCAGAGAAGACAGAGTGGGAAGTCTGGAAGAAGGTTGGGTGGAGGGAGCCCTGGATGCTTTTGCACATCCCGGGGTAAGAGCAATCCTCGACAAACCCATCCTTGGGGTTGCCACACCTGTCGGGGAATTGATGTGGCGTGGTAAACTGGTGACCCGAGCCTCACCTGGGCTGGAGTCTCAGTCTCCTCTTCACTGTCCGATTCCTCCTCACTGCTTGTAGATTCTTCATGTCTTTTAGCCACTGAAGGCCCTGCCTTCCCAGGAGGTACTGAGGCTGTCCCTTGCCCCAAGGGCCCCTTGGTGGGCACTGAGGCAGCTTTCACAGGGAGGCCTCTCCCTGCAGTCTTTACCTGGAACAACCCAGAAGTGTGCAGGTAATGGAGAGTTCAAAAAACGATGGGGGGCCAGCCCTGAGTCAAGCATGCTGTGCCTCACCTGTCCCACGGCTGTGGCAGGAGTTGTTTCTTCCTCGCTCTCTGACTCCTCACTGCTCGAAGAGTCCTCCTCTACTCTCTGGGTGGCCCTGATCACGGCTGGGGATGACGAGCAGGCTGGAGCAGTTGCTGCTCCAGCTTTCCAGGGGGCTGGAGTGCCCAGTCGCACTGGTGCAACCTTGGCAGAAGTGGGGGTGATGGGTGTGCCCTTCTTTGGGGAGGCCTTGGTCTGAGGAGTTTTCATAGCTGGTTTTGCCTGAGGGGACACAGAAGTCAGACACTGGAGAAGGATAAGACCCCTGCCCTGGGGTCTTATCCCACAGGTTCAGGATCAGACCGGGCAACAGCCCCTCCCAACACCTCACCTGGGCTGGAGTCACAGCTGTGGAGGCTTCCTCCTCACTGTCTGAAGACTCTTCCTCACTGCTCTCCAAGTCTTCTTTGGACTTTTTTGCTTTAAGCTGTGTGGCTATAGGCACTGCCTTCTGCAGGGGCCCCTTGGTAGGACCTGAGGCAGGTCTGACTGGGAGGATTTTTCCCAAGGAGTTTGCCTGAGTGAGATATAAGGGGTCAGGGAGGGAACCCAAAGCATGGCTGTGTGCAGAGATGCAAGGGACTGAGAGGTCAACAACCACAGAGGGCAGATGTGAGGGAGAGAGTGCCCTCCTGGCAGGGGCCTTACCTGGGTTGTGGCCACAGCTGCTGGCGCCTCCCCCTCGCTTTCTGACTCCTCACTGCTACTCTCTGAGTCTTCCTTCTGCTTTCCAGTCTGGGTCAAGGATGCCACAGACCCTGCCTTCCCAGGGGGTGCCGGAATATGGCCCTTCCCTGAGGGCCCCGCGTCAGTGGTTGAGGCAACTCTGGCTTGGGGGTTCTTCCCCAAGGGCTTTGCCTGGGAGTAACAAAGAACAGATCAGAGAGGGCCCACAGGGGAGCATGTGTGAAGATAGGAGGTGAGGAGGGCAATTGGAGGGCAAGGTGCACAGTGGCTCGTGTATCACATGTTCCAGCCTCACCTGAGTTGGGCTCGTGGTTGGGGGCACAGCTACCGGAGACTCCCCCTCACTATCTGACTCCTCAACACTGCTGTCTGAGTCCTCTTTCTGCTTCGTGGCCTGGGCAGCTGCAGGCCTTGTCTTGCCAAGTGGCATTGGAGGGGCTCCTTTCCTAGGGGACGCCTTGGTAGGGGTAGAGGTTGCTTTAACCTGGGGGGTCTTTGCCGAGGGCCTTGCCTAGAGTAAGAAAAACAGAATAGGGGGTAGGGGTGGAGGATGTCCTGAAGGTGGATTTGAGGAGACATAGGACACCAGACGAGAGCTGATGCCACCACACAGCAAGAAGGGGCGGGAGTCTCAGCACACAGGAATGGAGAACAAATCCTCGGCAGGCCTCTGGGGCAGGGGGTTAGGCTTGCGTGGCCCCCCCCAGACCTCACCTGAAGAGGGGTTTTGGCAACTGGTGTCTCTTCCTCACTGTCTGACGACTCCTCACTGGTGCTATCAGAGTCTTCCTGTGGCTTCCCTGCCTTGGCCTGGGTGGGTGCAGGTCCTGCCTTCCCAGGGGTTCCCTTCGTAGGACCCAAGGCAGCTCTGACCTGGACAATTTTCTCCGAGGTCTTCACCTAATAAAAGAAAAAGGGCAGTGTGCTCCCCGGTTACTCCTATTCACCTTCCTGTGATGCCTTTAGGTTTATAAGACCCACCAGCTTCTCTCCTTACCCACACTTTGAATGGTATTCAGGACAGGAGGCTCAGCTTCACACTCTATCCTGGGCCCTCGCATCCCCTGCCATTCCATCTGTCCACCACCCCTCAACAGCCCTTATCCTCTGGTCCCAGACAGAGAGCACTTCCTTAGTAGCTCTCTTGGGCCCTGCACTGTCCACCTGGCTATGCCTGCACAGGGATCGGAGGAAGTGAATGTGACATGGAGAGGAAGTCCCAAGTGAGGAGGGAACAGAGGAAGGTCTGTGGGACAGCAGGACTCCTAGGAAGTTTGACCTGGCCTCATGGGCAAGGTCCCCAGGGCTTGGTCTCAGCCTCTGGTCCTGGCCTGAGGGCTTTGGCAGGGTGGCTGAAGGTCCTGTCTGCTCTGGGAAGGTCACCAACTACTCAGCCCTATGCAAAAATCAGCGCTCTGGTCACTTGCCTTCCAAAAATCTGCCTGTATGGAGGGAAGAAGCCTTCAGATAAGCTGTTCAGCCTGCACCTTTTCAGAATTTTGAATTCAACAGAGAAAGTAGACGTGACATAAACATTCACACTTGGCTCCTAGAAATGGATGCCAGGAGACACTGGGTAGACCTTAGGCACAGCAAGACCGACTGGGGCAGAGGAGAGTGGCCCTGCAGACAGGGTCTCATCAGTGATGACCCTCACTCCCTCGCCTGCCCAGGGCCTCGGCACTTGCAGCACTCCCTTGCCCAGAATGACCTTTCTTCCAAAACTCCACACGGTACATGGATCCTGCCTCTCCTACTTCTGGTCCCAAGCTTTACTATCTCCTCTCAGGCCTATCTCAACACCGCTTTACATGGCCACCTCCCACATCTCCTGCTTTATTTTCCTCTAACATTCACTACCAGTGAATCTTACTGCAAGCTTCCCCTCATTCTTCTGTTGCGGGCCTTGGGGGGAACCGCCCCTCCTGGCCTCACCTGGGTAGGCTCAAGGCTGGCGGCAAGAAGGGAGGTGATTTTACCATTCTGTCTGACCTTCCTCTTCCTTTAATGACTCCCACATCTTCCCAGGCTCCTGGCTTCCCCTTGAGGCATGCTGAAGCCCAGGGGTCTCAGTAGATGGAAAGTAACCAGATCCCTGTTCATAACAAGGTCCAGATTTGGCTGAGAAGGTAGAGGTCCAGGTAATTAAAACTTCTCAAGTCCCAGGACTAGCTGGGAGGACAATGGCCACTGACTAAGGGAGAAGCGATAAGGGGAGAAGTTACTGACAGTGGGTTGCAGGGCCTCACTCTCAGAGAAGCCATTCGGGGTTCTGCCTGCCCAAGGAGTTTCCAGGGCATCTGAAACCAGCCCAACTGCTCCTATGCTTCAACTTGTGCATCCTCCTCCTGCTCCCCAATTCCCAAAGCCAGTACTCCCTGGCAGAGTGCTCAGTACAAAACTACTCTGTCTCTCTCTTGGGGGGTCTACACGAGAGTCCCAGGCTGCTGAGGAACTAGGGGATCCCAAGGGATATATCTCCCCAGGCCTCACCTGGCTGGGTGTCTGCATAGTGCCCCTGCTCCTTGCTCTCAGACTCCTTGCTGCTATCTGAGCCTTCCCCTGGCTTCTTGGCCTTGCTGGTTATAGTCAGGGCACCTTGGACTTGGGGAGTCATACCCACCTTCTCAGGGGTTGGTGCTGCTCTTTTCCCTGGAGACCCCTTGGCAGAGGCTGGTGAGGCTTTGACCTGGGGGTGTTTTCCTGAGGGTTTCTCCTGGAGCCAGAGAGGATGGAATCAGGGAAGGAATCAAACCCTTTGCCCCGAAGGCTACAAGATGCTAGATGATTTATACCTCAGGCTACTGGATCCTCAACTACCTGAGACATACTACTTTCATACTCATTCTCCAGAAAAGGACAAGAGGCTTAAACGTTTAGCCACCAGGGCCAATGCTGCGAGGCAGAGCTGTGACTGGAGGCCACATGGGCACGCCTTTCAGGGTAGAACTCTCAGCCACTATGTCCCCTGCCACAGCGTGCACCCAGGGTTGGCAAAGAGGGCCGCCTGGTACTCAGGGTCAGCACACAGGGTGGCTGGGCACCCAGGGTCAGCAGAGGGGACCTTCTAAATCAGGAGAGCTCATCTTTGCCCCTTCTACTGCAGTCACCACAGTGGTTACCCTGAGGGACAGGACCTGAACACCAGTATTGGTGAGATAAGTTGGGTACATTCTTTCTTGCACTGGGCTCTTCATTTGACTTTATAACTCAAACATTTCTCAGGCAGACAGCTCCCCTACTTTCACCTGTCATGGGGACTTCACCTGCCCCTGGGTTTCTGAGGCAGCTATTTCTTCAACCTCAAGTCCCCCTTCACTGTTGCTGGACCCTGCATACCACCTACCTCTGGCCCACCCAGGCTGGGCTTAACTATTCTTCCTTGGGTCCTGGGAGGAGAGAACCCAGGGCATACTTATGGGTGGCTGGCTCTAGGGCAGAGCAGGGAGCAGCCCACAGCCAGGCCCAGGGGGAAAGGAGTGAGGGCTTCACTATCACGGTTCCCAGGTGAGGCGGAAAGAACCATGGGTGCCGGTCAGCTCCTCCCTGAGCCTTGCTGCTTGCCTACCGCATGGTAACCTTGCCACTTGTTCCTGGGCCAGCCACCAGTGTCTCCTGCCAAACCTCAGTGGTGGCACTACTTTTATTTTACACCATCCTCCAATCCAGATCATGACCAGTGATCAGACCACTATCCTTCTGTATCTGGAACCCTCCTCAGGTCTCCTAGGATAAAACCCCAGTTTTTCCCAGTGGGTCTCAGAGGCAGGCAGAAAATCTGACCCCTGCGCTTCTCATCTGGCATCACATTCCCCTCAGTGATGAAATTACACATTGATGCTGCTTCAAAGCTCCAAACGCCTTGGCACACTCCTGTTACAGGCCCTCCCTATGGTTTCCTTGATGGTAACTGTCACAGTTTGAGTTAAACTGAGGGAGACCTCCTGTCCCCACAGCAGTAGGCAGTCCATCATCTTGTGGCTGTATTCCAAGTAGGCCGCAGCCACCCAGAGAGCAGAGACTTCTCCCAGCTCGGAGAAAAGGCCACAGCCTCAAAGTCCTACTGCTCTCCGGTCAAGTGCCAAGGCTGGGCATTTATCAGAGCAGAACTCTCAGGGCTGCTGCATCCCACGAAGGAAAGCCATGATCCCACCCAGGTACTGCTCATGAAGCTCTTCTGACCCTGGCCCCCACATCCCTCCCTGGTGAAGCTCCCAGGCATTCCAGTGCCATCTGCCTAAGAGGCCTTCCTTGCCTCACAGGTGGGATGTGTCTCTCACACCCAGAGTACAACATGCAGCTCCTGGCTTCTCGTCTCCCTGGAACACTTGCTGACTGAACTGGGCCCACTGGTGTGTGAAGACTGCTCAGGGCTCTGGGAAGGCTAGAGGTGTGGAGAGCAGCTCCTGAGGATGAGTGGCAATTACCTCCACGTCTGTCTCATCGCTGGAGCTGGAGGTGTCCTCACTGGAGCTGTCGGCCTGGCCTGTTGATGCCATTCCTGAGAGGTCAACAGAGAGGGCACTGAGGGTCACCATTTCCAGATGGCCTTTCCCTCCCAGCACCACAATCCTCGAGTCCTAATCAGAGGGGTGCTGAGCACCCAACCTTTACATGCAGAACTTCAGTCCACCCTCTCTTGAGCCTCACAGCTGAGATAGGTACCACTCATATCATAGGGTCCTGCACACATGAGGCCCTACTAAGGGCTATTAGAGGTTCTGACACTCACGTACCAGTACCTGATGGCCTAGAAAATCTCTACCTGCCATCAAAGTGAGGTGGGCAGGGCACACACCTACTGTATGTGAGAAACTGAAACAAACCCAGGAATGGCAGTTTGGTTTCCAAGCCTCCTCAGTGGGCCCTGGACTCACCCGAAAGCAATAACCAGAGAACACTCCATTACCATGGGCAGCTCAAACTTCCTACATAAAGCTTACGTGCCCATGCAGCTGACCCTCCCTTATGGGAGGGGAGGATATGACCTAAGGTGGAGCCCCTGCTGTCATGGAGACAAACCTCTGAGTTCCAGAATGTCCCAAAGAGTGATAATGCAGTGCCCAGGCCTGCCTCCTCAGCCCAAGCTTGGGGGTTTGGTTCCTAGAGGTGGGAACTTCTTACCGGGCTTGGCAGTGGTTTTGACGGCTGGGACGCTGCCCTCCTCCTCAGTTTCTGAGACCAAGATGGTATTCACTGAGGGCTCTGGCATCTTCCTGGTGGACTTTCCAGAGAGGAGCTGGACCACTGCCTTCCCAGAGGCAGGGTGTGCTATGGAGTTCATCATCTGGCCACCTTTCTTTGCCTATGGAGAATGGGAGGGGCAGACACACACTGAGGCACCTGGAGACCTACCACCTCCCGGCAAGGTGAGCCTGGGTCAATCACTTATTCAAGTCTCTGCCAAAGTGGGGCCAAAACTGGTACCCCTGCTCAGAGGCCTAGAGGTAACCTGATTACAGTTCTTGGAAATGTGGTAGTGGCTGGCTAAGTAACAGTGTATTGTAGGTGCATTATTTATTTCATAATGACTTTTTTACATAACATTGCTAACACCCCAAGCAATTTCAGGGACACACGCCTTTGCATGCCTGTAATACTGCTTTACAGTTTACCAGAAAATGACATTCCACTTTCTAAGCAGTTCCAGACTAGAAGATGCTTTCTGAGCTTTCAGATCCACAGGGATCTTACTCACCATAGTGTCTCCACAACCTCACAGTGCCTGAACTGCATCGGTAAGGATTTGTTGAAGCAAATGCAGGGATGAGGAGGAAAGAAACCATTTACTCTAGGTTCATGATGGCCCCAGTAGTCCAGAGAGAAGGCATCATCCTCACTTAGCAAAAAGGAAACTGAGGCCCCGAGAGGTGAAGGGACTCAACAGGCTGAGACTTGAACCCAGGGCAGCGAATTACCCACAGCCCTGTCCTTCCCTGCAGGGTGCTTCAACATCCACAGCTGACAGGTAGGAAGGTGGCCCCCACTCACCTTGGCTTTTTCTTTCATGCTTGATGGCAAAACCACTGACAGGGCTGAGGAGTTGCTTGGCGCTAGTCTCGGGGCTGTAAGACACAAGCACTTGCTGGATGAGCCAGATGAGTTTTTCCTCAACAAAGAAAAGCAAATAGGCTTCAGCTCATCCAACAAGAGACGTGGCTGCCAGGTACTCACACGCTGGATGAGGCTGAACTCAGGCTCTCAGGGATGCCTCGGCCGCACCCACCAGGAGCAATGGAACAGTGAGCTGACAGCCGCGTGTCTGCATCCCCAATGGATTCCAAAGTGGCATCTGAGGCCCCAAGGAAAAGGGCTGGCTCACAGCCCTGCCCCATACTACCATGACGGTGCTGTAGAACTCTGGGGGTGGCGGGGGGTGCTGTTCTAACAGGTCCCCACACTATAGTCTGCTCAGGGAGAGTCTAGGGCCAGGGGTCAGGCTGTCAGCCTCCAATCCACACAGAAAACTGTGCAGAATTTAAATAGTTTTTCAGTGAAGCGGTGGCTGAACCCTGAGACTTGGACCTGGTTAGATGTTGCGATTTATAGATTGGTGGTGCTTTCACACTAGGGTGCTGTCTCCTGAGATCTCAGAGGTATGAGGTTAAAAAGGACCTGCGTGGGCCTCCCCGGTGGCACAGCAGCAGGTTGAGTGCCGCGCTGTGAAGCTGTCCGCAGCTTCTGCGGCATGGGTTTGATTCCCGGCGAGCCAGGGATATACCCACATGGCGCGGCAGACCTCTCCAGCCTCGCCCGCTGTTCCCCTCAGCAATGTTTTTGGTCTGTCTGCCTGTTCTACTCCCCACTCTGTCTCTGGTGAATTCTCTCACCCTCCCACAACTTTGGCCTGTACCTCAGTTCTTGTATAAATAAATAAATCTTTTTTTTTTAAAAAAGAGGACATTGCGGAGATGAATGGCTTGATCTAGTTCTTTTCCTGGACAGATACTGAATGACCAGGTCTAACCATCATCAGTCTGATTTCAAGTGTCCCCTGGGTCACCCTTGCATTGAGAATTATCCTGAAGAAAAGCCAGACACTGTATTATGCTGCCCACAGACACTTCAGTTTCTCTCAGTGAGGACTCCTTTAAGAAGCGTAACCATCATCACAGCTTTAAATATCCACTGACTAGCCAGTCAGTATATATTTTTATATTTTATGTTTTATATCACAGGTGTAACTGTAACAGGGTGGTCCCCAGGAAAGAGGGAAGTTCCAGGTTCCCTGCCCCACCCAAGGGAGGGTGGAGCTGAGCAGGAAGAGGAGAAGCTGCAGAAGAGACTGAGGAAGGAAGCAGGATGGAGCCAGGAGACCTGGAGGAGGCGCATGGAGCCTAGAGACACGTGAAGAAACTGCGCTTGTCCTTTGGTCGTGGACTGGGTGACACAGATGTGGGTGAGACCCGTGGGGAGGTGACAATGGCAGCTTTTATCTTGATGTTGATTTTGCTCTTTTCCTTCTGGGCTTGTCTGATTGTTTCTGACCCTTTGCTGTGGGTCCCCACTGGAAGGTGCTTTAGACTCATGGCAGGCTTTGGGGCCTTGCTCTGGGCCAATCCCATATGGATGGACTTTTACCCACGAGGGGACGGGTAACTTTGGGTGCTTCATTTAGAAACTAGACTCTTTGCCTTACCTGTATTGTTTCCTAGTTTTATTAAAGTTCCTTCCCATTAAAGTCTCCTATGTTTTGTGTTGATGCGGTGGATGGCAGAACCCATTTAGAATAGGCAGGTTTGCGGGGTTTGAGCTGCCCCTCTCCCTGTCCTATAACATAACCACATGTAGACGTAAGCACAGGTAGATGCGGCTGAGGACCACTGAAGCCCTTCCAGTAGGCAGGGCGCGGGTGGGCAGGAGAACTGAAAACCTTCCATTTTTCTTCTATATGCTTTTGGACAGTTCAAAATAAACTTGTATAGCATATTCTTTAAAATACTAAGCAATATATATATATATATACATACATACATACATACATACATATATATATATATATATATATATATATATATATATATATAACGTAGCAATACAATTGCAAATATTGAAAAGAAACATGCTTAGGAAAAATGAATGGAAATATATTTTGTCAAATTACAGGTGGCAAGACTATAGGTAAATTTCCCTTGCCTTTAAAAAAAGTAATTAAAAATACTCTAGAACGAACACTTCATAATAAGTCCTGTATTTTTCAATTAGAAAACATTTAAAAATGAAGATGTGGGCCTCCCTGGACGCACAGCGGTTGAGTGCTGGGTTGCAAAGCTGCCCGCAGCCTCTGCAGTGCCGGTTCGATGCCCGGCCGCCGGGCGAGGGTCCCACATGGTGCGCAGACCTCTCCTGCCGCCCGCTGCTCCCCTCAGTAGTGTATTTCGTTGGTCTGCCTGTTTTGCTCCCCTCTCTGGCTCTGGTGAATTCTCTCACCCTCCCACGCTTCTGACTGTACCCAGTGCTTATATAAAAAATAAATAAATCTTTAAAAAAAAAAAAATGAAGATGTTACCTTCTACATAAACAATCCAATAACACAAAGCAGAGCCGAAGGACAGCTGCCCTCGAGTTACGAGTGCTGTGGGAAGCACAAGGAGCCCCGAGAACCCAGAAGGAGGAGCGAGCCTCCCATCATCCAGCTGGTGCTCTGAAGCCAGAGTGGCCAGGACAGCTCCCAGTGTGCATTTCCAAAAAGGCCCACAGACAATCACAACTCTCCAAGCACCCCCCAGGCCATGCAGAGGCTGCTGCCTCTGGAATCATTCCAGCAATTCTGAGAAAGCGGGCATCTTTCCATCTCTATCAGAATCACTGGGAAGCCCAGAGAAATGCAACACCAGGGCCCCACTGCAGGGGCTAACTGTATGTACCTCAAATTTGACTAGAAGGCCCATTTGGTTTTCTGTTCACCACTGGATCCCCAGCACCTAGAAACACTATGTTTGCATAAGGCGGGGTCCACAATGCACTGAGATAGATGTGGAACCCTCTGGATCTTTCCTCTGACAGGTCCCAGTCTCCCAGTCTTCCTGACTCTGTTCCCAAGAGTCAGGGTAGACCTGGGCTGAGTTCCCAAGAACCAATGACAGGGGCTTCCCCCCAGGACCCAGAACACAGGGATCTTACTAGCTTTAGTGGTCTCGGCTTCTGCCTCTTCCTCCTCCTCCTCTGAGCTCTCTGAGCTGCTGATGGGGTCAGACACCCGGGTCTTCTTGGCCTGCAGAGCCGCATCATCCTCTGCCTTCCGTTTCTTGCCAACCTCTGAGGTTCTGCAGAACAAGGGGCACAGGCTGTACTGACTGGGAGGCCAGCACAACTCCAAGAAATCTGAAAGTCTTTCCAGCATTCTCAGCCTCCCCACATCCCAAGGAAAGGGGAATCTAAATGACAATGAGAACACAATATAGATAAACTGCTGTATTTTGCATTTTTACTCATTTTATAAAATGTCTTCATAATTGTCTATCCTCAAAATAGTCAGGAAGTGGTTCACTAAAACTCTAGGGGCCACCCCGGTGGCGCAAGGGGTTGAGCATCAGCACTATAAAGCAATCAGCAGCTATTGCAGCTTGACATTGATCCCCAGTCAGGGAAGTGACCCACACAGCGGAGCAGACCTCTCCTGTCTCGCTCGCTGCTCCCCTCAGCAGTGTTCTGCTCCTGTCTCTGTAAATCCTCTCACACCACCACACCGCTAGCCTGTACCCCAGTTCTTGTATACAAAAATAAATAATAATAATAAAAAAACCCAACCCTCTAGGAACAGTAGCTCAGTCACTAAGTGGTACATTCTAGCACCTGCAAGCACGTCACAGAAGCACCAGTCTCCTCTCTCCCCTCTAGAACTTTCTGGATGAGATACCTTCTTCCCAGAGGAGTCTTCAGGCCTTCCTTATCCTTCAGGCCTCAACTGCAACACAGCTTCCTCAGAGAGCCCACTTCCCTATACACACCCCTGCTGCCATGCCACTCAGATTCAACAGAACATTTCTCTCTATATTTTGGTGATTTCCCAGCCCACTCCCCACTACATAGTAAGCCCAGGGAGGGGAGGGTTGGACACAGCACATTTCAAATGAACAAATGCACAACCAAGTGCCTTGCAAGGGTCAGTCAGTCTGGGGCCCTGGTAGGACAAGCAGAAGGCCCAGGCCCAGAACTTTCAAGTATCATTTCTTTACCCCACCCTCCTGCCCCACAAGTGACACTGGATCTGCCCCGCTCCCTAGCAGAGACAGATGCTGCTTAGCCCCCTTGTTCCCCGATCACTTTTTGGGAAACTGCCTATGAAACCAGGTTTCGCTGGTTACATGGGTCAATTTATGCAGTTTCTCTCCTCCCAAAGAATGGAAGCTGCACCAGGGCAGTCATTTTTCTCTTATTTGTTCCCAGCTATTATGGAGAACAGTTCTGGTTCACAGTAGGTGCTTAATAAATATGGGGGAGAGGGGCGAGAAGTGCTTCTGATGGCAAGTTCGAGCATTTTATTTACTATTATTTTTATTTTACAGATAAAGACACATGGAGGCCAAGTTTGTCCAAGGTCATAGAGCCAGTTACTAGGTTTGAACTTTGGGGGACCCTCTAAGCTAAGCTGTCTCTGGTGGATCTACTGTGTACCTCCGCTACTAGTACCGCCTTATGCCCCACCAAGCTCTCACCGGGACACTGATATCCAAGCCCACCAGTCCTGCCATGCTGGCAAAACCGCACCACTTTGTTTCACCCCCCCGCAATGGCTCCCAAGCTCTTGGGGCAGGGACACAATTTCTCACCATAGAGCACCAGCCACTGCCAACTGCCCAGTTGCACTGTACTGTGCCCACAGCTGCAGGCCTCAGCAGCAGCAGTTCCCTGCAAGACACAACCACCCCCCACGCCTTGCCTCCCTACATCCATCACCATGTTCACGCTCCCACTCCTGGCAGTTCTGTCAAAAGGCATCTCAGGGAAGACTCCCTCCACCCCCAAATGAGGGTACACTAACCTGTTGATGTGGTTTTGGCACCAGACATCTCTTTTTTGTAATCCTCCCAACATGCCTAACTGCAAGATGAGAGCCAGGAAAGAAGAGACCATGTGACATGTGGCAGGCATGTCAGAATCGCTGTACTTAGGGCAGACCTGGCATTCAGTAGGTTTCTAATAAGTGTTTATTGATGGAATGACTAACAGATGCTTTTATCTCTTAGAAACATTAATTATGGGGCATAGTGTCCTTGCCCCCCATCAGACCCCCAGACATGTGACCTGGCTTCCTGGTCATGAGTACCCTTATTCCAAACTGATTGCTTGGAGGTTCCTCTCCACACTCTCAGCCCCAGTGGACTTACTGTTGCCAGTGTGTGTAGATGTCCAGAAGGGTGACAGGCTGAGTCAGGAAACTTTTCTGCAGAAAAGTAAAGTGAGAACATCAGAATAAGGGTCCTCTCTGAGCCCCTCTCTCTAAGATCTCATGACATGCAGAGACTGGTGGTTGAAAAGAGGGTCTTTTTGCTGTGGGAACTATGTCTGCTTAGTCTTGCTGTACTATCCAAACCTTCTGGAGACCAGCAAGACAAGCATTTCCAGCTAAAAGCTTTTCAGACAACATGCTGAAAACATGGAGCTGGGATGTTCCAGCCCAGCATTTATTTGGCCCCCAACCTCCATGGCACGCACTCTTCACACTGGCTGCAGTTCAGGGCTTTTTCCACCCCTGACCTTCCAGAGGTCTTTAAAGGGCAGGTTAGTCCATCTCTCCAGGGCAGTATGAACCACAGACACAAGGCATCCAGATACCATGACTGCAGTTCATGAGTCCGCTAAGAAGAGCCTGGACCAAGTGGTGGCAGTCCCTTGGGAAAGCAGAGGAAATAAAGTGGACTCCACGCCTTTGGAGTTGAGGCCAGAGGGTCCAAATGTCAAGAACCTGGGGTGGGTGTCCAGTGTCCCAAGGAGGTTGAGTAAACAATGTGGGGTGAGGGCAACAGAGTGTAAGGGTCCAGTATGAAGTCAGACAGAGCTTCTTGGTTAACTGGCTAAGCTAACCCCTTTACCTCTTTACTTCAGGTTCCCTGTTGATAAAATGGGGATAATAGTAGTGTCCACACAGCAGGTGACCAAGTCTGAATGAGATAATTCAGTCAGAGGCCAGCACAGTGAGCCAATAACACTGAGACATCAAGTGTGAGCCTCACTCAATTCCACCCTGGGCCTGCTAGTTCCCTCCCTGTCCCACAAACGTGTTACCCAGCCCCAGAGACTGTTACCCAGTCTCTGTCAGGGTCTCTCTGTCAGGAATGCTGTCTCCCCTGCTAATGATATAACTGGCTCCTCATTTCCTTGAGGTCTCTGCCTAAATGTCACCTCTCTGTGGGGCTTCCTGACTACCTTTTTAATGATTGAACCCTGACATTCCCTCTTCCCCATGCCTGCCTTACTTTTATAGCTAACAAACACCTACCATCACCTGACACAGCATATCATTCACTTTTTAAAAATATTTGTCATCTGGGGCCTCCCCGGTGGCGCAGCGGTTGAGCGCTGAGTTGCGAAGCTGCCTGCAGCCTCTACAGCACCGGTTCGATCCCCGACCACCAGGTAAGGGTCCCACATGGCGCGCAGACCTCTCCTGCCATGCCCGCTGCTCTCCTCAGCAGTGTACTTCGGTCCTTCTGCCTGCTCTGCTCTCCACTCTGACTCTGGTGAATTCTCTCACCCTCCCGCACTTCTGACTGTACCCAGGGCTTGTATAAATACATAAATCTTTAAAAAAAATATTTGTCATCTGTGTGCCCCTGCTAGAATGTATGCGCCAAGAAGGTACAATATTTTTGCCTAGGCAAAGGTGCCAATGAAGATGGGTACTGCATCCTGTCCTGCCATTCCTTGTTTCCCTCAAGACGTTAAGTGATATAACTAGTAGAGGGCAACTGAGGTCCAGGGAGGTTTGGGCAAAGTACAGATGATGTCTTAAACCCGTTACCCGTTAGTACCTCCAGAAGGTCCTAAAAACAATTTTTAGGACAGAGCTTAGAAGGGGATATTAACTAATCAGTTGCCACCTCAGTAGTTAAAAAAACCATCAGTGGCTTAGCACTTGCTCTTTTAATAAAGACCAAAGGGCCTGTGAGAGGACTCCTGGTCCCAGCCTCTTCCCCATGGTGTTCTATACCCTTGCATTCCACACTGCAGCCACAGTCCTCTTTCTGGAGATCAGAGTACACACGTTCCCTCCCCTACCGGGCATCTGCACCTTTGGAAAATTCTCCTTCCTTCCTTGTCAGATTTCAGACACTTCCCCCAAAAAGCAGTTCTGATATCCCTTGTCTGCCGCCCTTGTCTTGTCCCCCCCATGAATGTAGTGTAAAGTACTTTTACTTTCACATTTCTGATGTATGTCTGTCTCCCCAATTAGATGTTAAGCTCTGGAAGGGATGGGGGACATGCTTACGGTTCTACTGACCACCCAGAGCTCCAGGTTAACAGTTGCCCAGTGGGTGAATGAACTAAGAAATGACTACCACGAGTTCAAATCCCAAAGCTGAGAACTGCTAAGAACCTGGACTACAAGTCAATGGCAGGGACACAAGCGCCTTCTTTGAGGCTCTCCCCCCCAGGGCTAGGCCAACTCACCCCTGAGACTCGCAGCCACCTTCTAGCCCTAGGGGGCCGCGCCGAACCACGTGGCTGAGGCAGGTAACTTAAAATGCAGATCCACCAGAAAGAGGGTGGAGGTAGGGGGCGCGGGGCTTACGAAGGCCTGTGGGAACCATCACAGATCCCGGCACGCCCACTGCACTGATGGGGAAACTGAGGCCCAGAGAGCCAGGAGCCGCGGAGCCCGGGCGCAGAGGCTGCGGCTCATTCGGGCCCCTGGCCGCACCCCGGATTACGGCGGGATCCCACGCTCCTCGCCGCCCAGACCGTCAGGGCAAGGGGGGCGGGCCGCAGCTCCCCACCTTCCGCACGCGGCCCTCGCACGCCGTGGCGCACGCCTACCTGGCCGCTCTGTTCCTTCACTTCCCGCGCAGCGCGCACGTAGCCCGCCTGGAGCAGATGCTGGTAGATCAGGGGTAGCAGCTCCCGCCGCTTCCTGGCCTCGGCCATGCCCGCAACTCCCCGCTCACCTGCACGCCCCCCTCAGTCCTAGCCCGCCACTTCCCTCGTGCCCTTAGACCTCGCGCGCCCCACTTCCGGCTCCTCGTTCGCCCGCCGCGCGGCTCGCCGGGAAATGTAGTTTCAACCCCGGAAGTGGCCGGCTCCACCCCCAGCGATGGAAAGGGCGGGGGCTCGGAGGGCAAAAAGACCGCCTATTGCCTGGGGGCGTGGCTAGGACTGGACCCGCCCTCTGGGTAGGCCAGGCTATAAAATGACTCTCAAGTTTTTCACATTTGCTCCTGGAAGGGATTTGTCTTCCATTTTAGCTCTCTGAGACCGAGTGGGTCTTACTCATCTCCAAACATCCTAATCCTATTCTCTTTCTAGACTCGAGCTTCCATTTACCCACTCATTTATCCATTTTGCATATTTTTAGAACTTATGAACCTGGCAATATTTGTCATCTGTTGATTCATTCATTCACTGGTTGAATAAATCCTTATTGAGCATCGTACCTTGGGGTAGCGCCTGGCTAGAATGGGGGGTGTGGGGAAGATGAATCAGACATGATAGCTTGCCCTCGAAGCTCACAGGCAGGAAAGAGACAGTAGGTTACCAAGCAACTGTGGTTCTATGCCTTATGTGTGTTGTTGGGGAAAGGCCTGTGGGAGCAGGGAGGGGCACCTAGCCCCCAAGAGACATATAAGCTCAGACTTAAATATGGAATAGGAATTTGTAGGTGCAAAGGAGAGCACTGGCATCCCAGGAGAGAGTACCGAATGGGTATATAGGAGAAATCACCCTGGCATAGGCTGGGGAAACCCAAATAGAAGCCAGTCTGTGCTGCGCTGGGCTATAGGCAGACTTGGGGAGAAGAGGGGACAAATGAGGACACATAAAGTTGGATCAGCTGATGGGGTCTATAGCAACCCTTCCTCCCAGCCAAGTGTGCATTTTGTTCCAAGGGCAGTAGATTGTCTCTAACTGGTTTAAGCAGACAATCCTTAAACCTTGGGTTTTTAAAAGATCACTGTGACTGGAGTGTGGAGAATGGGCTTGCGGAGAACAAAACTACTTGACGTGAAGCTGTTGTAGTGGTTGAAAGGAGGTTGATGGAGAGGATGAGAAAGTCTGGGGAATATGTGAATCAACTGTTCTTGCTTTCATGGACCTGTTGTGAATCTGAAGATAGTATGAACTATGGAAACTTTGCTCTGAAAAATGTGAAAGATGCATCCAATGCATCCAATATCATGGGCGTGGTAAGCACATCCCGCAGGTCCCTGGCCCTCCTAGGTTTGAGAACTGCTGCTCCTGGCACCAGGTAAGCGAATGAGTGAGGAATCGGGAGGAAACTAATCCACCTTCAGCCACTTAGCAAGTATTTATTGAGCGCCTCTGGTGGGGGATGAAACATTCTCTGCCCTAATAGAGTCCATTGGGGGAGACACATGCTAAACCAACAGTCATAAATACATTGCTACAAACAATGAGTAGGTGTAGAAAGGAAAAAAGAGGTGTTTTCTTACAAAATAGTATAGTATTTAAAAGCTAAGCTAGAGTCACTCAGCCTGGCTTCAAACTGTGGCTTTGCCTCTTATTAACTAAGTGATCTTGGGTAAATTACATAACTTCTCTGTGTCTTAGTTTCTTCATCTGTAAAACATTACAGGATTGTCTTGAATTTCTGACAATAGCGCTGTCTATGTATGCATGCTGGCCATTATTATGAAAACATTAACAGGAAAAAGGGACATATCTTTGCTCAGGGGTTAGGGAAGGATGTCCTGAGGAAGTGATATTTGTGATAAAATATGAACTCTGTGTAGGAGAGAATGGAAGTGAGAGAGAGAGAATGCTGGGCGGAGGGAAGAACCTGTGCAAAGGACCTGTGGCAGAAGGTAGAGCGAAGAGAAGAGGTCAGAAAATTCCTTTGTAGCAGAGCCTAGAGGGAGAGCAGGAGGGTAGAGAAGTGTAGACATAGAACATGGGCAAAAGGCAGATTCCACATGAAGGACCTTTCTCTTATTCTAAGGGTGGTAGGAAGACCCTGACAGTTGGCAGCACCAGAGGGAAAAGGTGACATTTGAATTTTAATATGTCCTGTGTGAATGCCCAGTGGAGTACTACATGTATGAGGAGATGCAGGAAGACAAGTTAGGGTTAAGAGTATAGGGGTTACTTGTGGCAGTGGAGTTGGGGAATTGTGGAAGTTTCCAGAGTTATCACAAAGTGAGATCATCACAGAGATGTGTTGAGAAAGAGGGCGCATCAGGATGGATTTTGAGGTTTCTGTGCAGGGGCAGGCAATGAGATGGGGACAGCTGAATAGGACTATGATGGGGGTGAGTGAGGAGGGGAGCTGTGGGGGGTCACAGGAAAAGTGCAAGTTCCACTTTAAACATGTTGAGCTTGCAATGTCTTTGAGACACTAAGTGCAGATTTTGATGAGGCACTCAGAAGTGTTTGGGGTCAGCATGAAGATGGGGTCAGCAGAGACAGGGTCACTGAGGCTGTGGACAAGGGCAGGATTGCTCAGGAAGAGCAGGAGAGAGAAGAGGTGGTGGCCAGGGTGGTGCTCTGGGCACATCAACAGGTCAGGGATGCAAAAAGGAGGCTATGCCTACAAAGGCTGAGAAGGAATGAACAGAGAGGTAGGAAGAAATAGAGAAGGGTGGGCACAGGACAAGAAGTCAAGGGAAGAGCCGATGAGACTGCTTTGAGTTGGCTAGTTGGCTGGAATGAGGATGGAATGTGGGCTTTGGTTCAAAGACAGGTGTGGGGAGGGCTGATGGCTTCAGGGAATGCTGTTCCAGGGGCATGATGGAGGGAGTCCGATTCGGGTAGCAGTGGGGCGGGTGAAGGAGGGATAAGGAAGGCAGTGTTTCTTTTGAAAAGTTTTTGTATGAAGGGGAGGAGAGAGGAGAGAGATGTCATGGTGGTGTGTGTGTGTGTGTGTGTGTGTGTGTGTGTGTGTGTGGTTGTTATAAGGTGCAGGAGACCTGAGTTTGTTTAAAGGCTGATGGCAGATCAAAGGGAGAGATATTAATTGAGGGTGTAGGAAATTGGGGAGACAATCAGCGAGGGATGTTCACAAGCATCTGAAGGGGATGGGATCAGGCGTGTAGGTGGAGGGGCTGGTCCTGGAGAGGAGGGATGACTTCTCTTGAACCAAAAGAAGGAACAAAGAGAGGATGAGTGCAGATGTAGATGTAGGTTTGTAGTGGGATGTTAAGGGAGATCTCATCTTGAGCTTCTATTTTTTCTGCGAAGTGGGAGGCAAGGTCTTCTGCGGAGAGCGAGGAAGAGGTGGTGAGGAGTTTGAAGGAGGGAGGAGAATGAGATTCAGAGTGCTGAACAAAATTGCCCACAAAATCCCCAACTGTCTGACAGTGGCAACATCCCAGTTGAGGTTGGTGTTGATGACCTTCTGTGTGTCCGGGCCTGTCCTGTACTACTAGGCGATGCCCCCTGATGTGGCTCACCTACCCAGGTACAGACTGGGGAGAGGACTTAGTGGGGTTTATTCAGGCCTGGGACTTTGCCAGCTACGTGGAAAAAGGGGCACAGGATCTAAAATGTGGGCAAAAGAGGTCCCCGCCACTGGACCCTGTGAAGGTGGCTGAGGAGGGAGGAAGGTAAAAGTTTTCAGGGAGAAACTAGAAATCTCCATGGACTTGGCCACCAGGAGGTCAGTAACCGGGCTTCTGAGCCCAGGAAGGCGTGGCAACTGGAATTGATGCCGATGCCCAGCTTACTGACTGCAAGCTGAACAGGCCCCTCACAAAGATAACAACAAGGTGATGAACATACAAATCATTGTAAGAGAAAGATTGTTTCCACCCCTGCAAGAACCAATTTTCTCACCCTCGGCATTGTGATCTCCCCACATAAGGGGAGATGTGAAGCCTTAGTAGAATGTGAAGCCCCCAGAGGCAGATCTGTGGCTGTCTGGTTGGCTGCGTTACCCCAACCCCAGTCCTTAAATGGAGAGAAGATGGCAGAGCACTCACCACCAGTGTAGGCCTGGAAATTAGAAAAATGGAAGGTTCTGAGAAGGTCATGGAGAAGGAACTGGGTCATGCGTCCTTGGCTGACCTTGGAAGACATGGAAAACTGGTATTAAATTAAAAAGCAAAAACCAAACAAAGCCAGGATGGCCTAATATCTTCTGTCTAGCAACACGTTGTTTTGTTTTTGTTTTGTTCCTAATAAAATTCATTTTAGGCACTTAGACTTTGTCCTCGGCTCCTGGGAGGCTGCCTCTGCTGTGGACAATTTCTTTATTTCCTTGATTTTCCAAATCATACCCTTCACTGAATTGCCTCGAGGCCCAAGCACAAAATTAAAACATTAAACTGATAAAATATAACATGGCAACAATTAAGACAGCAGCAAACAAAACAGTGCTTAAAAAAAAAAAAAAAAAAAAGCTTCAGAGCATTTTTCTACCAGTTAGAAAAAGATGTCTTTGTTAGTGGTAGAAGCCAGAAACTCCCAGACCACTTGACAGGGAGCGCCTTTTGGAGAAGGACTTGTCTTAGCCCTCTTGAATCCTGGAGAGGACACAGTAAGGACGTGAGTGGAGGTAGGGCTGTCAGCAGGAGGGAAGGAAGCTGTGCAGGTGAGGCTCTATACTATTCTTCTCCCAGCAGGAGCGGCTCCTCCACAGAAGTAAGGGATAGCATGATACCCGGGCAAGGGCTCTGGGCCAGGAGTCAGAAATGACATTTTGGGCCGTCTTCTGCTGTGTGATCTTGGGCCAGTCTCTTGACCTCCCTGATCTTCAACATTTCTTTTGGTTGGAGTGGTTGGACAAAGGCCCTTCCAGCATTGGAATTCTCAAGAGAGGGGCCCATCTGAGAAAGTGACCTTTACCCTCAGGCCTAAAGATGGCCCCACCATCTACTGGAATGATAGGGTCTCCCTGATCCATGTCACTTTTTAGTGGGCTCCCTAACATCCTTACCTCTGGAGGGATGACAATTTCTCTTTTTTCTTCAATTTCACTGGAGAGTTTAAAGATTATAAGAGGTTAATAAGTTATTGCTGAAG